CTGAAAAAGAATGTATCTGTATGTTTTTATTGTCTCTGCTGCGATGAAAGTCGGAGTATGCGAGACGTAGGGATAACTATCCGGCGGCGGCAGCGATATAAAAAAATTACATAAAGCATTACATTTCAGAAGGCATAATACCTGGATGATTCATACCTTCTATGCATATACCTTATGATACGTAGTTTCCATCTGCCATATGTCCATTGTCCTTGACCTCATTTTCATGGTTCAGCGATTGCTCGAAAAAAATTATAGTTGTTTTTGTCATGTGAATTTCTAACTTATAATGAGTAATAGAATAACTATATTTAGTATGTGGTTCCTTGCAACGTCTACATGTCGGTCAGACAGGGTTCACCTGACCTTGACCTCATTTCATGGATCAGTGATCAAGGTTAACGTCACGTGATTGGGTTCGTTTCTCAGATACTGTAAGCAGTAGGACAATTATATGTGGTGTATGGAATGATTATAAGGGGTAGATGTCAATCTGGCAGGTTTCATCTGACCTTGACCTCATTTTTATGGTTCATTGATCAATGTTAAGTTTGTTTGTATTTTGGTCTGGTTTTCAAGTACTGTTAGCAATAGGTCAACTATATTTGGTGTATGGAATGATTGAAAATGTACATGTCTGTCTTGCAGAGTTCCTTTTACCTTGTCCTCATTTTCATGGTTCATTTGTTTATGTTAAAAGTTTTTGTGTTTTGGTCTGTTTTTCAATTACCATAAGCAATAGGTCACCTATGTTTGGTGTATTGAAAGTTATAAGGAGACTGTCTGTCTGTCTGACAGGATTTATCTGACCTTGACCTCATTGTGGTGAATCTTTATAAATGTTAAGTTTATGTGATACTCGTAGTTAAACCTTTATCATTAAGACTTTCAATATAATATTAGTGGTCAGTAAAGCAGGCGGGACATTTCAGCATGTGCACTTTTGTATTAAATTATATAGGTAGTTTGTTTTCAGAAACAAGTTTCTTTGAGGTGCACAATGATTATTAAAACTCGCCAAATATTTTGTAAATTAAAAAAAAAGTCCAGAATTTTTAAACAAACTTATCAGTCTTCACAAAGTAAGATTTTGTAACCTAAAACAAGTAAAATGTTAATATTTACGATTCCCATTTTTGTAAAGACAACACTGCTTAATGAAAAGATGTGGCTGATCATTCAAATGGCGAATTGTAGTAAATAATGTGTAAACGAAAACAGTGAATGTAAACTGTATCGATGACTTTAAAAATATTGACTACTTGGAGAAGGAGTAAAGCTTTTGAAATTTCCCTCAAAACTGTGCGACGGGTGACCTTACATTCTTATACCCAATACCTCCTTTTATTCATAAAAACACTGAGGCGTAGTAAAATAGCTGTATAAATGTAGTTTTAGAGGTGTATAAAGCGACATTACACGCAGAGAACGTGTAATTGTCCTCGTTATACGATTATAAGACGTGGACATAAAGGGTTGTTTGTCTCGGATTTCGTGATAAAATAGGTTTAAGCTTTTAATTAAGATGGCCTTGATTTGACAAATAGAAATACATATATCATACTAAATCAACATATGTTAACGAATTCATTTTCAGACGCTCATTTCAGGTAAGAAGTGTGTTTTTGTACTTCAAAATATATGCAATCTCAGTATACCTGTAATGCATACTCAAATTCTAATTTAATTTTTCAAAAAATGCCAATAGAAGAGAAGAAAAAAAACTTTGTCAAATCAACAAAAGAAAACAGCTAGTTTCCTTTCTTTATGTTTTGCCTAGGATTTCAGACAACTTTAATGTCTTCTTCGCCATCCAACGAAATCTGTGACAACTTGTTGTCATAAAACTTTTGAGGTTTACAGTGAACATTTTCGCCCATGACCAAAAGATTAATTATTGCCGAAATTGTGATAAGTAACCTTAATGGAATTGGCTTTTAAATAAAAACAAACAAACAAATAAACAAATCAGTTACTCATTTGACAAAACAGAGTAAAATTACAATATGTTAGTAGCAGTAGACATGAAAGGCACCGACATAAAAAAAATGTGAAACAACTAAAAAGTAGAAAACGAATGGCCTAATTTATAACAATACAATTTACGAAAAACCAGCAATATGACAGACATGAACCAGTTTTTTACGACAACCACTGAATAACAGGCTGTTTGGGACATACACATAAAGAATGTGGCGGGGTTAAAAATGTTTGTGAGCGCTCAACCCTCCCGCTAAACAGGGACAGTGGCGTAATAGCACAACATAAGAACAAACTGTAAAAATTTGCTGCAAAACGTTTAACTCAATAGATCGGTAAGAAGCACAAAAAAATACTGACATAAAAACAAAAACACAAAGCGCCGAAATAAGAGTACTGAAAACTAGTTCAAAGGCAATTACAACTAGCAAATAAATCATGTTCTCCCAGGCTAAAGTATAAAAAAGTACACATCCAACAGATTTCGTGTAAAGACGTCATAAAAGTCTATGACCTTGTGCAATCCCAAACTATAAGTAAACAGTATCGACAGTATGTAAGATCAAGATTTCTCATAGCTGTAATTATACATGTATATAGAAATATATATTTAGTCACGTTTTAATTTAAAAAAAAAACAAAATCAATGTTAGTACCGATAACAAAATTGTATAAAGATTTGACTACGGTCACGGTTAAATTGATAACCTTTAAGAAAAGGTTTATTCAAAGGATCAATGAATTTATACGAATCGTATCTAAATTTACGGGTTCTGTTAACAACATCAATGTAAAAATGAGGATGTGATTTCCCGTTTTTAATAAGAATTCTTCAGGTACAGCCAAACGTCCTACCCAAATCTGTGTATCTATGAAAGAATTTAGTTACAGTTCAATCTAATAAAAATATACATCTCTGATTCCGTAATACTCATATTCGACACAAGTTACTTTAGATCTTTATTTTAATTAGATTGGTAAAAGATTTAATTAATTTGGGGTAACGAAATTCCCGACTTAATATTTACCAGTTACTAGTCTACATAAATTACATTAATTGAAATATAAAACGCGACTACAGACACAGGCATAGCGAAAAGTTTGTAAAATATAATCACTGAAGGAAGGGACCAAATGAAAATCACCATCCAAAAAGGGAAAATTAACAAACGGGAACAATAAAATCGTCTCTTTTGTATATTCTTGTATACAGTTTCCCGTGTGAAACCGAAATATCCAAATGTAGGAAAGAACATTTATTGCTGCCTGCATTAGATTTATTTAAGATAAGTTCCCTTGGGTAAATTTTCGCAATAGAATTCGAAAATTCTTGATTATTTAAAGCAAAAATATCACCAAGGTAACGGTAAGTTTTTTTTAATTTGTCAATTAAATGTAATTAAGATATATATCTTTATCTTTATCTTTATCTGAGTTTGGCCATAAACTGTGATTTATAACAATACAGGAAGAATTCTGCTATTAAAGGGGTGCAATTAATGCACATAGGAATTTCTATAATCTGTCGATTAACTCTATTGCCGAAACGTACATAGATGTTGTCAAGGAGAAAATTTACACTTTAATCATCTCACAGTTCTAGTAAGTATATCTAGCATATTTTCTTTTTTTCTTTACAGAAGAAGGCTTTATTTGAGTTGCTGCAACAGCAAATAAATTTGCAATCAGATTTTTCAAAGTACTATTTAGGGGCCACGGTGGCCGAGTGGTCTAAGTAGTCGAACTACTGTATCACTAGCCTGTCAACAAGGAGGTTGTGAGTTCGAATCCCGTACGCGGAAGGTCCAATCTGAATTGACTTGGATTGTCAGTTTTCCTACCGAAGGTCGGTGGTTCACTCCGTCTTCCTCCACTAATAAAAACTGACCACCACAAAATAGCACAATAGTGCTGAGAGTGGCGTTAAACACCAATCAATCAATCAATCAATCAAAGGACTATCTAATTAGATAAGAAAACTTCTGTTTGATAAGATTGTGTGGTAGTCAAATGTACAGAGTCAAAAAGCCATAACTCTCAACCGAACTGAACAAACCATCAAAACAACACAATTTAACAGAAACATCCAAAGATATTTTGACACTTCAAAACAATCAATTCCCTTATTTTCATATGCTTTATTACAAGAATTTATAACAAGTTCTCTAATAGAAGTAAGGGGAAAAGTTAACAGCACAGACATATTAGTCGTAGAACACTTATATGTACTAGAAGCCAAGATGAAACGAATTTTTTTTGGTGCAGTTTGGGTAGCCAATACATAGTAGGGACCTTCAAATATTCAGAGGAGGCCTTCAAAGCTGAGATGTGGTAGTAACATGATCATTTACTATTTGACTCCGTCTGTGGAGCGCACGGCCTTGAATGTAGAAGAATTTATAATTTCATTCTTAAGAACTTTTTGTGTAGTATTTACGTCAACTGTACCCCCGGCACATTGTTGACTGCTTTGTCAGCTGGTACGAACAACAAACGTCGTTGCGAGTACTTGAATTTTGTTTGTTTCAAGTTTTTTAATCCTGGAAGTGGGTGCATTATTTACCCTTTTATTAATTTCTAAACTATTTTCGAAATGTGATATGCGAATATTTGATAGTTAAAAATGCTTTGAATGGGAATGCCTGCAAATGTGTCTGTTGTAGATATAAAAAAAAATAATTACTCTTAACTTCTATTGTTTTTTTTTGTTTTTTTTGTGTTAAATATATGTACCAGCAAAATGTTAATGCGCTAAGATTTTATACATGGACGTAAGACATTATTTATTTACAAAATATGTCTGCCATCATATATCTGTTATTAACTATGCATGGATTGCTTTCCTGTTGATGTATATGTAATATTTGCAGCTAGACGTATTTTAAAAACATCAGTTGTTAATCTTCGTCGTTATTTAAAAAAAAAAACATGTGCTTCTCCACGTGGCAATGTTTACAAACACAAGGTGGTTTCCAAACTGACGTCAATCGTGACGTCAATGCCTAAAATAGAACAATGGCTGCCTTCATGTCGACAAAATCTGAAATGACACACAGCAGTAAAATTTGGAAAAAGAACATCTATCGCAAATCAAAATGAATTTTAGAAGATGTAAGTTATTAAAAACTCTTATTTCTTCAATTCTAAAGACAATTGAGCCTGTGCATGTTTTTTTTATAGTAGGAAAATGAAAATGTCATTTGTCATCTATAAACATATATATAAATCAGGTTTATGAAGATCCTTATAATTGACCAAAAAAATGTATGGTGAAAGGTGCTTTATTATTAATGTTATACTATAGTAACATCGAACGTAGTCAATAAACTATCACTAGGAAGCACCTGTACCAGAGTGACAATCAATGACAATAGAAGAGATATAATAGAAACTTTAAAAATACATGATTATAAATTATATGTGGCAGCATGAGACATCACCTCCTGCTCAAAACCACATGTAAACTGAATGACGACTTACAAATCAGTTTCATTTTGTTGTGGTTGACAGACTTTTGATTGTCATTGTGATACTGTCACCAGACATTTGATGTAAATTGTACTTGAATGGTTTTTTGTAAATTAGTATATAAGGGAAAAAAAAAATTGTGTGTGATTATTCCCGGACCAACCCTAATTTTTGATAGCTGACTTTTTTCACTGAAGATTTGGCAAACTATCCTACCGTAGTCTATAATCGGTCATAATGTTGGTTCGTTCAGATTTTGTTATTGTACTTATCACACAAGAAAACTCGGCATTGACGTCACAACGCTAATACCAGCGTATAAAATTATTGCAGAATACATTTTTTCTACACTTCTAAATAAAATAATATTTCTAAAGATAAGTTTTCATTTTTATTCTAAAGTATTGAACCAAAATGCCAATTTTCTAATGGTCATTTCAAACCTGACTTCTGAATGCTTAAAAACATTCCAGAACTTTAGAAAATCCCTCTTCCGGCCTCCATTGCATTGTTTACATTCCATTAAGGGTCATCAATCTTAATTGCAGACCAAACAGGCCAAGCAAATCGTATTTTTAAGAATTTCAAAATGGCAAGCACCTTACGTCTTACACGATTTTCCCGCGAAAAAAAACATCCAAATTGAAAGAAAAACTTTGGGAAACAAACGATAATCATGCCATATTTTTGTTCAGGAATATAGAGTAGGATAATAAAAAACAATAATCATATATTTTTCATAAAAAAAAAATTTGGTTCAATATAAAGAGATCGATATTCTCACCATAAGTAAATATTCATATAAAATTCCATTGATGTCAAATTTCATGGCTAATAATGAGGTTTCCTATTGAATAAACCCCCAATTTATTGCAAACTATTTCAAAGCAATATCATACAAACAAATAATGTAATTGCCTTAGACTAAAAAATCCCCTAATTGACAATAGAGCAATTTGATTGAACATCACGATTCAATGTGTCATGTGGTTTTGAAGCTATTAGAATTTGAATGTAAACAAACCGGGTCAGCTGCTCCAGTATGGAACAACATCGTACATTCAGTGACTGAGAAACAATTATGAGTAACCAAGCTTGACAATACACAGTAATAAAAAAACAAAGCTAAGTCTACAGAAAAATAAAATAAAAAATGTCCTTAAGTGCACGACTTACCACCATTGCGGGATATATTACCGGCATTGTTCATTTTGCTAAACCTTTAGTTTAATGCCGAAAATCGTCACAAGTATTGTTTAAAACTGAATTAAGGGCATATGATACAGGTACAAGGGAGGTAATGATGTTGTTAACGTAAAATGTTATTTTTCGCGACCTCAAACTGCGACATATCGGGAAAAGAAACATTTTTCTAGTAATTTTCATCATAAGCTTGAAAAGAAGTACATGAACCCCTCTTTTTATGCTGCTGCCGTAGCTGAGGGGAATTAAGTTTTACCCTTGTCCGTGTGTACGTCCGTCCGTAAATCTGTATGTCTGTACGTCCCAAAATTGGTTTCCGTTCTCCAACTTTAGTTTGCCTCAACCAAATGCTATGAAACTTATACACAATGCTAATTACCACAAAACACAGATCAAGTTTGAATTTTGGTGGCGTCTCTTTTACCTTTCTAGAGTTATGCCCCTTTATAAATGGAAAAATTGCTGAATTTTTCATTTCCATTCTCTAACTTAAGTTTGCCTCAACCAAATCAGCCAAATGTTATGAATGTTATACAAAATCCTCAATACCACAAAACACAGATCAAATTTGAATTTTGGTGGCATCACTTTTAATGTTTATCCTTGACAAATGGAAAATTGCTGAATTTTTCGTTTCCGTTCTCTTACTTAAGTTACTGTTCTTGAGTTATGTCCCTGTATAATGTTATATGCAAGCGGTGGCATCACCTGTGTCCCATGGACACATTCTTCATTTATTTAAAATGACATTTGATTTGATACTGTATGAAAATTATTTATTCCAATTTTTATGAAGAAATCTCAGATGATTTTTTTCTAAATTTAAAGAATTTAATAAAAAGGAATTATTTCCAACAAATTGTTACACAAATTAAGATGAAACTTTTGTAAGGAAGATATTCCAAATCGTTTAAAAAAAATCTACATGTGTTTATCTTATCTTTTGAAACAAAAAAGTTAAGTATGTCTATCCAAAGGATAGAAATGTCTAAAAAACAGAAATTTTAGGGAAACGTCTAAAATTTCAATGCCATTTTTCTCTAAATTTAGCGCATGAAGATATCTTTTTTATGCCCCCACCATAGCGGAGGGGGCATTAAGTTTTACCCTTGTCCGTCTGTATGTAAATCAGTATGTCCCAAAAACTCCCAAAGTTAGTTTCCGTTCTCTAATTTTAGGTTTCCTCAACCAAATGTTATGAAACTTATACAAAATGCTTATTACCTCAAAACACAGATCAAGTTTGATTTTGGTGGCGTCACTTTAACTGTTCTAGAGTTATGCCCCTTTCCAAATGGAAAAATTGCTGAATTTTTCGTTTCCATTCTCTAACTTTAGTTTGCCTCAACCAAATGTTATGGAACTTATACACAATACTTATTACCACAAAACTCAGATCAAGTACAAATTTGGGTAGCGTCACTTTTACCGTTCTTCAGTTATGTCCCTTCATAACTTTATATGATATGCAAGCAGGGGCATCATCAGTGTCCCATGGACACATTCCCCATTTATTATTACATATTTGAATTGACTATGTGAAAAATAGTTTGTATGCAAATTTTAGTAAATAAATCACTGTGGGATCGAAAAACTGTATCGTATGCCCTTAAAACATGTATGACTCGTGTATCTAGTTGACAAAAACAAGTTGGAATAAGGCCAATTAAAATTAATTGATAGATTTTCATCCCCGCCCGCCCCTCTGAAATCGTTCCGCCCCAATTTTTTTTATTTTGAAAAATTTACGATTTCCGGATTTTGTTCATTTTCGTTACCGGTAACTGTCGATAATTTCGTTTCATTAATAACATCAAGTTTCAAATTTTGGTTTTTGCATTTCTTTGTATGTTTGATTCGTTATACATGTATATACATGATAGAACCTTATTATTACACTTGCATATATGAAGAACACGTCACAAGAGCGTTTCATATCTAATAAAAAATAAAAAATAAAATCCTCCCACCCGCCCCATTTTTTTCAAAAATTTGGATGAAAATCTACTAATTAAATTTACTTGGCCTAAAGGCCACTAACCAGAAATATAGACAAATACAATACTGTATCTGATTCCAAAACAGGATAAGTCTATTTCATGGTTTGCCGATCAAATTAAAAAAAATGTTTTGTTGACTTAAAGGTGGATCATCACTATACATTTCCTCAGATAGAATTTTCTTATACATTGTACTTTGCTAAAATGTAGATTTTACCTGGTTTTTTTTTTCAAAAATATATGATAAAAAGTATGGGTCACCGTGCTATTTTTCAAGCTACAAGTGATGCAAAATTGTCAAATTTGCATAGAAATTCACATATTTTTTTGCGAATAAATTGAAATCTATGAGATAGAATTTTGAATTAAATATGAGAAGGTTTTACAAAATGCTTAAATTTTTTTTTTCAAAATGGTGTCACTAGACATACCGGTATTATGTTGACTTGTAGATTTGTTTTTTGAGGTTTTCTATTGTGTTCCCTGACGATAAAGCTGTACAGTGACAACTAAGGATCATTTCTGTCATCTCACAACATTGTGGAATGTGTCACAAATTTTAAATCCGCGAATCCTTGAAGATAGCTTGACAAAATTCAACCAAACTTGAACAGATTCATAAACAGGACATAAAGTTGTGCATCTGCAATTTTTATTTTCATTTGAGGGATTATTGGGGTTTCCCCATACTAAAACATAAATCTCACCTTGGACATCATGGACATGTAAAAAGACTCATAGTTTAAATTTTTGTGTAAATGGGTTGCTGACTCATTTATGTGAACCCACCATACCCTTTTATTCATTTATGAAAATAAAATAGATGATTGTAATGTGCCAGTATTAAAGATGTGTAAAATTCTAAGTAAACTTGTGGAGAACTTTTTGACCAATCAACTATTTCTGGTCTATATACTGCGATGAACCTTAACAACTGGAACCATATTTATTCATCTGGCCAAAATATTAAAATTCAGGTCTTACAAAAAATTGCTATTCCAGTCTCAACCAAATTTGATAGGAAACATAAATATTGATCCTTTGAAAAAAGGAAATTTCTATTGTGTATTGAATGATGAGATTTGACTTGTCAATATGCATGTTATGTGATGTAGCCATTTGTTGTTAGAGATCTTTAATTTTAACATGATTGCATGCTCACCTGCAATGGTACTATTCTAATTACATATATAATTCATCTACATGTTATACACATCTATCTGAACAAGTCATTATCACTCATTTATGAAGTGTGATTTTCTAATTCATTCGTACATGTAATCTCACTAGTTTACTTGTATGTAAAACTCAATAGAAACATAAAGGTAAAAGTTGTATAGGCGTAAAGGATTATCAATTCTACAATCATATCACAATGTCCTATTCTAATGGTCGCAGAATAATCAATAATGATTTAATTAGTTTTTCTGCAACTAAGTATGTGTGAAAGAAAGCAATAATGTACACAGGTTATTTGAATACCTGATTTTAATTACTGTGGTTAACGGTAAATAACAACAGCTTAAAATGTACGTATATAATTAATCTTAAATTAGAAAATAGAAAAAATCAGCATAATATGATTCAAGTCAAAAATAGGAAATATATACTCTTCTCTAATTTTCATGCTTTTTCACATTTCTCCATCGGTGTGAGAAAAGTATTTCTCATTTCTAGAGAAAACTCTGTTCTCAGCAAATGTCTTTAATGATGGGTCGAAATTAGATTATGATGTCAAATTTTCTTGGTTTTTTCTCGATATTTCTCCACTCTCAACAATTAAATTTTAATTATTTGAAAAGCTCCGCAAGCCTTGCACTTTAAATATTAAAATTTAACTGTTTCGAGAGGAGGAATACATGTCGTGTAACACTCTCAATGGAGTGGTGGAATCTAAATTTCTAATTTGGTAATCTGCTGAAATAGACAATGCATATATATATTTTATGATAACATAGGTAAACTTTAATAATGACATTAACATATCTAATATGATAAATATTGTTTGAATGTATTGTTGTGAATTTTCATGGGCTAGAAAGAGCAATCAGTATATCAGATACTCTCTCATTTAGGCCCTAATAAGTCAAAAATAATACTTAAAGTATTATTATATAAGTTTGTTTAATTTTTTTCCTGAATTAATTTTGAACCTACACCAATACTTTAATTATAGAGAAATGGACTAAATTATAATTCATGTAACAAGAAAGTCCAAAAAAATAGGGTAATTATATAATTACAAATGTACCTAGTAATTATATAAATGATCCCACTACAAGTCCAAAGAGCTTTCTTACATCATGTTAACATGGTTAAATGGTAGATTTAATTTCTTGACAAATATATTTAGTGTGTTCATTCACAAAAATAAGCATGCTTGCCATAAATGTGTATGCTTTTCTCTGGTTAAGATGAAATAAATAAATGATAAGATATTTTAATCATGAATGTATATGTTACAGTGAATTTGCAATATCCCTGAAATTTCAGGAGTTTTTGTATAATCATAATGAATTGATATGGGAATACATGTATATGTAGGTATATATAAGTATTTTACAAAATCACTAAAATAATGGAGAACTTTTTTTACTTATTTTCTTTTCTAATTCAGGGTATTTAGATATGAGTGAATAGGTGAAAATGATATTTGATAGAATAGATTCCTTTTATCAAAATATAATTCATAGATTTTATAAAATTATGAAATTACCAAAATTTCTGATTATTTAACGGAATATTTAAGTCATTTTACATTCACAGTAACATCCCTACATCCATGTCTATATAAGTATACATTTAGTTGTACTTGTTAATGCAGAAGGTGAAAAATCAAATAATGTACCATTTCTAATCCATACCTATTTAATATCAAAATGAAATTCACTTCACTTTGACATAAGGATTAATATATAAGCTTAACTAATCTGTTTTAGCCGATTGCTCTTAATAATAATTGCAATAGTTCTTGATAGATTGCATGTATTTCTTTCTGTTTATTGACATTATAATGTCTACTTCAGATATGGACAGAAGAATTGGTTCTCCAGCCATAGATAAATATGTGCTTCAAGATCCAGACTATAGCAGTGATATGCTGAACAAACTCAATTCCCTCAGGACAGAGAAAGTCTTTACAGATGCTACAGTTTGTTGTGGACAAGAAGAATTTTTCTGTCATCGTAATGTCCTTGCAGCTAGCAGCCCATACTTTCGAGCCATGTTTACCAGTGAATTAAGAGAAGGAAAAGAAACTCTGGTATCGTTCAATGATATTTCAGCATGGACTATGAAAAGGATAATTGACTACATTTACACTGGTAAACTAGAAATAAACACTGATAACGTTCAGGAATTACTTGTGGCTGGGAGTATGCTGCAGTATGAAGCAATAGTCGATTCTTGCTGCAAGTTTCTAAAATGCCAGTTAGATCCATATAACTGTTTAGGAATAGAAAAATTTGCTCAGATGCATTCCTGTCACCGACTTGAGGAAGAAGCTTATAAACATGCCTTAGAAAACTTTAGTGTGGTGACAGAACAAGTGGAATTCTTAGAACTGACGGTAGATAGTTTAGTAAGATATGTGTCTAGTGACTGGATTGATGTTAGGACAGAGGAAATAGTCTACGATGCTGTCATCAAATGGATTGAGTTCGATGTAGATGAACGCAAGAAATATATAACCCAATTATTAGAACATATAAGATTGCCTGTTATAGATAAACATAGATTATCCATAATAAAACAAGAACCATTAATTGTGAAGTGTGAGGAATGTGTACAAATGGTGCAAGAGGCTATAACACATAATGAATCCGTACATGACCAACATGGCCGACGAAGAAGAAGCATGCAGAATAGTCACGTTCAACCTAGACCATCCACTGTAGCTAAAGAGAAAATGGTTGTGATAGGTGGAATAAACAATTATGTAAATAGAACTGTAGAAATGTATGATCCGTTAAAAGACAAATGGTTTGATTTGCCTGACTTCCCTGATAATATATCATGGTTTAGTGTTTGTGCTTTATCTCATTCAATCATAGTTACTGGGGGGATCTTAGAGGGCAATATTGTCTCAAAAGTCTGGAAATTTGAAGGCAGGACTAGAGCATGGATTGCAATGCCACCTATGCTAAAACCTCGTGCTCGGCATGCATCTGGAGCTTTAGGTGACCTTATATATGTGTTTGGAGGTGTCACTTATGGAACAACATACAGTGTAATTGATTCGGAATTAATAGAATGCTATGACCCTAGCACTCAGTCTTGGACACATGTTGGACAGTCTGTGTTTCCTAGGAAACAATCTCAGGTTGTGACCTTTAGCAATATGCTTGTTGAAGTTGGTGGTTTACAAGGGGAAGCAAAAGTCAATACCATGGACAATTTCATGTGTATAGGAAGTGGGAAGGACATTAGATCTGCTGAACAGTTTATTTTACCGGAAGCTATTCAGTATTCCAAAATAGTTGTCATAAATAATATATTTTACATTATATGGGAAGACACTAAGAAAATTATTGCCTTGAATCCTAGAAGAAGAACATTTGAAAGACTTGCCGATATGAATTATGCACATAAACATTGTGGGGCCACAGTTCTAGGGGATAAAATTTATGTGGTAGGGGGACTAATAGACAACACACGACCAAGTTGCATTGTAGAGAGTTATGATCCAGTCACAAATAAATGGACCATAGAGAAATCTCTGAGAGAACCAAGAGCTCACCATGGGTGTGCAACAATAACATTATGATGTGTAGATTAACTAGTACAGTAAATTCTTGATCTTTATTCACACTTTCAGATTCACTACAATCAATTTCACATTATTCAAGTTAAAAAAAAAACAACTTCATATCCAGTACATTTACGAAATGACAAAATTAATATTTCTTATTTTTTCTCCAAAACATGTTTAAACATTCATGATAGTTATAGGTTTCATAATGAATGAGAATTGCATATATGTTTGCGTACCGCTTGATATCAGCTTAAGTTTGGTATTTAATTTAAGTACCACGAGCCTCTGGCTAGTTTAATTATTTCTATTTAGATTAAATAACAAGAATTGATATCAAGCAATATCCAGTTCTCATGACTTGTTAAACCTATTTCCCATATGGTCATGATGGTAAAACATCATTCTCTTTGTGTTAAATAGAAAATTTCTCAACTTGTTAATCTAGTCTTTTGCACATAACAGTATTACTTCATACATGTATGTCCTGTTTTGGCCTCAACCTTTAACATCAGATATTTCAAAAATTTTTCTGTGTTTCAGAATGTAATAAAATTTGATATAAATGGATATATATGACATATATATATAATGTTGCAATATTGTTTCTTGATGCTGGATAAGCCAATCAAATTAAAGCATTTTTGGTATCACTTATTCGTACAACAGTCCATGCGGTGTACATGTGATATGAGATAGATCTCTTTGAAAACACGAGAAATAGATAATAAGCCACAAACATAAAAGAATTTTTTAGTACAGCATTACATTTCAGATGGAGCAGCAGATGTATATATTTATATATATATATATATATATTGTTTTCAATTTAGACTTGTATATATATATATATATATATATATTAAAAATGACCAATGTCACCGTTATTTTACATTATGGAATTATGTTAAAAAACAAAAGATATTTCATGAAGGACCACATTTCACTAAATACATGTTTACATGTACATGTAATAGGCTTTTTACTTTTTTATACATTTGTATTTTGTATGAAATGTGTATTCCTCCATGAAGCAACTGCATTGAAGTTACTCAAATATTCTTCAAGCAGTCACAGAAATAGTTTGTAAAAGCTTTTGGTGTAAAAAAATGTCAGGAATATTTTTATAAAACCTGAAGAAACTTAGCCACCAGATTTTTTTGTGCCATTAACAGTGTTCAGTTTTATGCTGTGTATACTTATATGATTGACAATCAGATTCAGCCTGTAGGTAATTCTGGCCAGACAAAAATACACATGTTTTAAGGATTTCCTCCTTTAGAAATATAGGGTGGGTACATGTTGGTAGTAGTTTTTTGTTTTGCTCATTTTTTTTACCTTGAGTATATGGGGAGACCTGCAATAAATTAATATTGTCACAATCTACTACTTAAAGCAGAGGTAGATCCATAGTCAGAGGAAATTTGATGTTACTGTAGGTTTAAGGTTTGAAATGGCATCAAGCATAGCGAGGCAAAATTTATTCAATGCCTTTAATATATAATGATTATATTTTTACAATCAGAGGAAGGGGTGGGGAAAATACACTATCTACACTCCCACTTAGAACCATACCTGAAAAATGCCAATAAAAACATTCTGGTTGGCATTTGAGGCATGAAAAAAAAAATCTGTTGGTAAACAAAAACTTGTATTTTGTATTTTTGCCCTATGTTACATTGTACTTCGTCAATGAATAAATTGCATGTAATAAGTTTGAAATATTAAAGGAGATAATTAAAAACAATTATATTTTTGGTTTGATCATGACCAACCACCCTGTTATTTTATCCAGATTTGTTTTTTTTTAAGTTTGTGAAAACATGAAAATTTATTAAGACCTTATCATGTTTAAGACCTTATCATGTTTAAGACCTTTCAGTATCATTTTGTTTGGCTCATAATAATCACTTTTGATAAGAATGTGACAACTGAATACATATTTCTATTTAGAATATTTGATTTACCCACTGAAAATGTACAAATATGGTCTCAACAACAACAGTAATACATTCTTAGATTATTTTACATTCTAGATCTATAATAACAATTATATATGCTACTTCTGTTTGTGTCAAAATAATTGTATTACATTTCTTGTAGAAGATTACTTTGCTTTAAAAAAAAGTGTGTAAATTAGTGTGGAATGAAGTATAAAAGAGAATTATGTATCTTTTCAGGTCAGGTAAAATAAAATTAATTACCTCATGTTTATCAATTATGAAAGTAGAATTAACTTGTACTTACAGGTGAAGTCATCTTCAGTAGTTTCCATAACAATTGCACAGTCAATTGGTAAACATTTCAGTTGTTTCAATTTTGATTCTATAATTTCTTATTATGGAATCTATATATATGTGCTTTTAAGTTTAAGAAATAATGTTTGAAATGTTTGAAAACTTCATGTACTTGAAGACTGATGAAAGAAAATAGTAAAAAAAATATACATTTTGTGAGTGTGTTCATTGTGTAATACTCTGTAAATTTTGTTTTATTATCAGACTCAATGAAACGACACAGGTACAAGCAAATGTATGTACAGTAAAAACAAATTTTCAAGGAAACACCGAAATAGTTGGGGGAGACAAGAGCGCAAAATAATGGAAATTTGGGGACAATATTTAGGTACATGTAGTATGGGAGAATAAACAAGAAATGACAGATTTTTTTCATTGTTTCCCAAAATGTAGGTTATATCATGCTATTTTCAAAAATACAATGCATAATATAAAGGTATTGGTCACCTTGCTTTTCCTCAAGCTGCAGACTGTAGAAAAAAACTCTTTTCATATTTAATATTAAAGGATCATATACAAAAAAGCACTATACATAACATGTATGTGACTAAAAAGAAAATTAATTATTAGAATTTTGAAGAAATTATGAGTAGACAGCTTATATAAATTGCTTTCAGAAAATAATTGAAAAAATGTTGTCTCTGAAGTCAGAGGCAGATTTAGGGTTGGCCCAGGGGGCCCCCGTATGGAGCTACAGCCTACATATATAGTTAATGCAGAGACTTGTTCTACTCCTAATATTGCCTAGTTTGGGGGCCCCTCTTTTTCAAAATCCTGGATCAGCATCTGAAAGTCCATGTATTCTTGTAAAAAAGTAACCCCATAAGATAAACTATATGAATTTTACATTATAATACCGGTAGTCATTTAAAATTCTAGTATTTCACACACTCCCACATTTGTTTATATCTTTGACATTTGACATTATACACACTCCCACATGTGGTTTAATCTTTGTCATTCACTAATGAAAAGGAGCAGTTTGTAAAAATAATTACGACCATGTATTGATCATATCACACTTAAGGTCATATACAATAAATATTCTGACATCTTCTTACATTTCATTACTATCATTTTAGTTACACAATTGAGACAAAACTTATATAAATGCAATTAAAATGTGAAATATGAACACTGAAGACAAGTTAAATGCAGAATATCAAAACTGATGCCATGTAAAGTGTATAAAAATTGCAGCTGTAGTTATATTATATACCTGCATTGAAATGCATAATACTTTATTGTCAATTATTTAATGCTTGCTTACAGAATCTGAAAATGGACCTAGCTAGTCAGTCTATTATATCAGTATTAGTATTATGATTGTATTGAATGTAATGTCAGTTATGAAAAAAACAGGTATAATTTATTTGTTATCACATATTATGATTATTTTTACAAATGTTTGATTTGACTGTCCATGTTGTGGAGACAGAATAAATATGTCTTATTAGCCTTGATTTTGGTCTTGTTAGCATAGATTGATAATTTTAGTCAGTAAAGACAGCATTATTACCATATAAGATTAATAACTTTAAGTGAAATTGATAGAAGGATCCCGCTAAATTATATTAACGTCAGCCTTTGGCCAGAGTAAATTAAAAAAACATCAATTAAACTTGTGTCTCGGGTCAAAAGTCAAGGTAAGCGAGACATAGGGATTCTAATCAACAGCAGCATCTGCATTAACTATTTATTTAAAGCTTAATATTTCAGAAGCTACAAAAAATCTGAATGCTTCATACCTTCTATACATAAGATTTATGTTACAAAGTGTCCTCAGGCATATGTCCATTGTCTTTGGCATCATTTTCATGGTTTAGCTACTGCTTAAAAAACTGTATAGTTTTTTTATCAAATGAATTTTTTTACTTATTAATAGTACTAGGATAGCTATATTTGGTATACTGTATCATTGAAAGGTCTACATTTCTATCAGACAGGGTTCATGGTTGTCCTCATTTCTTGGATCAGTGATCAAGGTTATATGGACAAGCTCTATAAGCAATAAGTTGACTATTTTTGGTTCATGTCCCACTGGCAGGTTTTGTCTAACCTAGACCCCTTTTTTATGGTTCATTGGTCAATGATAAGTATTTGTGGTTTGATCTGTTTCTCGGTTACTTTAAGCATTATGTCAATTATATTTGCTGTATTGAATGATTGTAAGCTGTACTTGTCTGTTTTGGAGGGTTCATCTGACCTTGACCCCATTTTCATGAATTATGGATCAATATTAAAAAAATTTTGGTTTGTAACCAATAAGTCTACTGTATTTTGTAAATAGAATGATTAGAATTGAGAATGGAAATGGGGAATGTGTCAAATAGACAACAACCCGACCAAAGAGCAGAACACAGCCCAAGGCCACCAATGGGTCTTTTACGCAGCATGAAAATCCTGCAGTCGGAGCGGGCTTCAGCTGGACCCCGACACAGCAATGTATACTAGTTCAGCGATATCGGCCCAACACTAAACTCCAACACATGTAAATGAACCAAAATTAAAAAAAACTGTATGGTGAACGTGTTAGTAGGGCAGGGTTCATCTGAATTTGACCTCATTTTTAGGGTTCTTCTGTCAATGAAAAGATTTCATGGTTCTTCTGTCAATGTCAAGATTGCATGGTTCTTCTATCAATGCAAAGATTTCATGGTTCTTCTGTCAATGCAAAGATTTCATGGCTTTTCTGTCAATGTAAAGATTCAGGGTTCTGTCAATGTTAAGATTTCATGGTTCTTCTGTCAATGTAAAGATTTCATGCATGGTTCTTCTGTCAATGTAAAGATTTCATGGTTCTTCTGTCAAGGTAAAGATTTCATGGTTCTTTGTCAATGTAAAGATTTCATGGTTCTTCTGTAAATGTGAAGATTTCATTGTTCTTCTGTCAATGTAAAGATTTCATGGTTCTTTAGTCAATGTAAAGATTTCATGGTAAGGTCCATTTCTCAGATTCTGTAGGCTGAAAGTCATCTATATTGGGTGTAGGGAATGATTGTAAAGTTAATATGTCTGTTCTGCACGGTTCATCTGACTTTGACCTCATTTACAAAATAATGTTTATATGATACTTGTAGTAAAACCTTATCTGAAAGACTCAACATAAATTCAATCATGATTAGTAACGCAGGCAAGACATTTTTGCGTGTATGTGCACTCTTATTCTATTTTGTTTTCATGCATAAATCTAGCTTTCATCAAGGAATTTTCCTTTCTTAAACTGTGCTAGATGTTGAACTGTTGTACAATTTGTATTCACCATACGAATACCAACTATTAAATTCTGAAAAACCTGGTATAAAGGGACCATTTGCTACCAAATATAAAGAGGGTAAATAAGAGGGCCATTCTTCACACTATGTATATGTTTATCATATAGATGCATGCTCTTTTGAAGCATTACTGTCTGGTTATGTAGATTTCCTCCAACATTATATACCCTGCTGAAGTTATTGGGTAGAACATATATATCTGTTATAGACTTCTTCACAGATATGTTGCAAGGCAAAATGTTCAGACAAAAACCCAAACATTGTGAACAGGAAAACCAAAGGTAGTTTTGTTATGAGATCAGAAATGAGAGACAATACATTGAAAAACATAGTCTCTCTTCATCAAATAAAGTAGTTTTAAGTACATATAGTTCAAAAATTGTATGAGAACTTTTCATGTAAAATTGCTGTTATTTAATTAAAGATTGTAACATGTCGAAATGTCATTTATGAATTGATGCACATGTGCTTTTTAATTTTGTGGTATTATCATAAAGGTGAATGTTTATCAATATTTTGTGTAAATGTATATTGTATTGATATTTGGGCATTTATATTTTAACGACAGTATGTTATAATGTGTTAGTTCGATAGGAACTATTGATTTAAGCCAAAATAAATGTCCCCATCTCTTGCCATTGTGTATCTTAAAATGAAGTGTGAGACTATCAAGGAGAAAAAATTTAAAAGTATAAATTTCTTATATAGATGTTAAATGGTTAAATAAGTACCTACCCTTAAGATTTTTTTGTCATGTTCAAACAAGCACTATTAATGTCAAACTGTTTCACCAAAAAATTGCCTAACTACCTATCCTAATTTCTTTCAGCATTTTAGCAGAAACACAGGTATTATGTTTTAGCCCTTACTTGCAAGAAAATTGATTAAAATTATTCTTTAGTGGTTATTTTGACTGGAATATTATACTTGTGAAAAAGATCACCAATATTTTTCTTTCTTTGTTTTACATATTAAATATGTTGAAAGTTCTCCAGAAACAGACATTTTTAAAGTCATTTCATTCAATGTATTCCAGTAACTGTTGTCTTACAGTTGCTCATAAAGTTTAAATTAGCCCAATTTGCAAAGGCTTGATTTGTTCCTGTGTGAACTCTTTATTGATTGATTGTTGTGACCTTCATGCCAGGCAACCATACCATAATGCCAGGCAACATTAATGTAATGCCAAGAAACTCTAACTACCTTAATGCCAGGCAACATTACCTTAATGCCAGGCAACATTACCGTAATGCCAGGCAACATTACCTTAATGCCAGGCAACACTACCTTAATGCCAGACAACATTACCTTAATGCCAGGCAACACTACCTTAATGCCAGGCAACACTACCTTAATGCCAGGCAACATTACTGTAATGCCAGGCAACATCACCTTAATTCCAAGCAACATTAAGCAATTAATAATTCATTAATCAACAATTTTGACAAAGCAAAATCGGTGTAATTAAAATTCTTACAAATGCCTATACAAAATTAAATAAATCTGTTCTCATTAGAACAGGTAGAAATTCATTGCTGACTCAGCCTTTCACATATCCTTTTTCTTGGTGAGTACAAAATCCATGTATGGTTGGTCCTTTATGCTGCATTGCTTAAAAGTATTCAAAGGGAAGTAATTTGGTGATTGTATTAAACATAAATTCATGAGCATTTAATTGTTAACCTGTTTATCTTTTTAGTGTTGTAAACAAATTTCTACAGAATTAAGGTTCTACATGGTCAATAGATGTTAAAAAAGGAAATTTAATTAAATTACAGTCAGCATGGTTGCAGCATAACAATAAATGTTCTGACGTTAAATTCTCCAGCAGCATATTAAAAAATGAGAATATAATTTGTCTTCGTTGTTTGCTAGTTTCAGTGACATGAATGTACAACTTTTAATTTTTCAATGTTTGTTTTTACTACTGACTTACAACAGTTAGAGTCTTGTCTTGTTTATTTTGAATAAATATTTTATTTACTTGATATTGTTGAATTATGTGTTATAATTTCTTTTCCACTGCCATAAAAAATGATGTCCATGGTTAAAAGAAACTGTCAGAAAACTTCCCCTTTAACAATGAAGATATAGATCTTTTCATATGTTGTGTTTCTGGAAATTGATTTTAGAATAAATCTTGAAAAACTTCTTTGAGTATTTATATATTTTATTCATGAAATCTATTGGCCTACCAAGCAACATGACCAACTTAGCTAAAAATAGAACAATGAGGGTAAAATGCAAGTTTGTCTATTATCTGAAAAAATCTGACAGGGGCAAAAATGTTGAGAATGTTAAGATCTACTTCTGTTGATTTAGATCAAAACAGTCAGGCAAATTCTTATAGGAAACATTGTCCATTACATATGAAGGTTTTTGGTTAGGTTTGTGTTGCTTAATCTTTAGTTTTTTGTGTAGTAATTTGTGGAATATTATTTGTATTTTCATTGTTTTTATACGCCCATTTACGGGACGTATTATGATAAAATTGAAAATGGAAATTGGGAATGTGTCAAAGAGACAACAACCCGACCATAGAGCAGACAACAGCCGAAGGCCACCAATGGGTCTTCAATGCAGCGAGAAACTCCCGCACCCGGAGGCGTCCTTCAGCTGGCCCCTAAACAAATGTGTATACTAGTTCAGTGATAATGAACGTCATACTATACATATGGTATGCCGTTCTATGTCTGTCCGTCCGTCCATCGTCAACATGTCGGACATTAACTTAAAAACGCTTTAACCAATTTGCATAAAACTTTTGTGAATTGTTTATATCTATTGACGCGAGCTCCTTTTCCATTTTTATATATTTTAGATTTTACGTTTCTAAGTTACAGGGTTTTATTCATAAAAAAAGGGGGATTTTCAAGTTTTCAGACATAAAATCAAAAATGCTTTCAGCAGTTCTTATGAAACTGTGGTGAATTGTTTATATCTATTGATGTAAGCTCTGTTTAGAATTTTATAAATTTTTCATTTATCATTTCTGAGTTATGGTGTTTTATTCATTAAAAAAGGGGGGATTTTCCAGTTTACGGGCAATAACTTCAGCAGTTCTTATGAAACTTTGGTGAATTGTTTATGTCTATTGATGTATGCTCCTTTTAGAATTTTATAAATTTTTCATTTATCATTTCTGAGTTATGGGGTTTTATTCATTAATAAAGGGGGGATTTTCCAGTTTTCAAACAATAACTCAAAAATGCTGTCAGCAATTCTCATGAAACTTTGGTGAATTGTTCATATCTATTGATGTAAGCTCCCTTTACATTTTCATAAATTTCTAATATGATATTGAGAATTATTTGAACTTTATTTGTTTATAGTCTGACAACTGATTTACTAAGTATTGCGCAACAGCACAGTGTATTGCACAACAGCAAGAAATCTTTAATTGAATATAAATTCAATTTATATAACCAATTTCAAGTTCTTTGACTACATTTATTCAGAAACCTATAATATGTCAAATATTTAATTACAATCCAAATTCAGACCTGTATCAAGCTTGAATATTGTGTCCATTTTTGCCCCAACTGTTCAGGGTTGGACCTCTGCGGGCGTATCCAGCTGTGCTCAGCGAAGCAGTTTATTTTAATCTTGGCTTTGTCAATTTTTCAATGATTTTTGGTTTTTGAATAAAATTGAGAATGGAAATGGGGAATGTGTCAAAGAGACAACAACCCGACCAAAGAGCAGAAAACAGCCGAAGGCCACCAATGGGTCTTCAACACAGCAAGAAAATCCCACACCCGGAGGCGGCTTCAGCTGGCCCCAAACAACAATGTGCTAGGTATCTTGTCCACCTTTGTACACAAAATCCATATGGGTGTGTTAAACTTCATTTATTAAAAAAAACTTTTTTTTTTAACAACAAAACCTGGTGAGATTTAAAAGTACTTTTAATTCAAATCTACACAATTCTGTCATCAGGATAATCAGGCACAAGTTCATAAAAATTTAACTGTCTTTTAATACCAAATCAGGCCACTTAAAGTTTACCCAGGGTCTAAATTGGCCTTAACTAACTGGAAGTGTTTAACGACCTTGACTGGATGTACATCCCTCGCACGGTCGGTATTGGCCTTAAGGTAGTTATCGCCATCTTGAATTGTACAATCACAGTAAATAATCGGTCTAGTTCTTTGCCCAAATCTGCAAATTTGGAGACAGATTTGCAATTTATTGGTTACACTGTTTATTTATACAAAGAAAATTTACTTATTCATTGCATTATCGAAAATGTTTTAACAAATACCAAATATTTGTGCTTTTAGAATTAATTTTTCAAATAAGTCATTCAAGGGGAGATAACTCTTTTAGTACAACATTTATACTGGACATATAGGGAAAATTTCATTTTTCACTTGTAGCAAGAAAACAAGTTCAGTGATACCATTTTTTCTTTTTATTTTCTTAAAATATATATTACAAGAGTGCACATGCTGAAATGTCTCGCCTTCTTTACTAAATCATTGATATTCTGTTGATAGTCCTAAATATAAAGCTTTATTACAACTGTCACATAAACTTAACATTAACCAAGTAAACTAAACATTGACCAATGAACCATGAAAATGAGGTCAAGGTCAGATGAACCATGCTAGGCAGGCATGTACAGCTAACAATTCTTCCATACAACAAATATAGTTGACCTATTGCTTATAGTTTAAGAAAAACAGACCAAAACACAAAAACTTAACACTGAGCAATGAACCTTGAAAATGAGGTCAAGGTAAAAAAAAAACCTGTGTGACTGACAAATAGATCATAAAATATATCCATACATCAAATATAGTTGAACTATTGCATATAGTATTAGAAAAAAAGACCAAAACTCAAAAACTTAACTATAACCACTGAACCATGAAAATGAGGTCAAGGTCAGATGACACCTGCCAGTTAGACATGTACACCTTACAGTCCTTCCATACACCAAATATATACTAGACCTATTGCTTATAGTATCTGAGATATGGACTTGACCACCAAAACTTAACCTTGTTTACTGATCCATGAAATGAGGTCGAGGTCAAGTGAAAACTGTCTGACGGGCAAGAGGACCTTGCAAGGTACGCACATACCAAATATAGTTATCCTATTACTTATAATAAGAGAGAATTTAACATTACAAAAAATCTTAACTTTTTTTTCAAGTAGTCACTGAACCATGAAAATGAGGTCAAGGACATTGGACATGTGACTGACAGAAACTTCGTAACACGAGGCATCCATATAAAAAGTATGAAGTATCCAGACCTTCCACCTTCTAAAATATAAAGCTTTTAAGAAGTTAGCTAACGCCGCTGCCGCCGTCGTCGCCGTAGCAGCCGCCGCAGGATCAATATCCCTATGTCAAGCTTTCTGCGACAAAAGTCGCAGGCTCAACAATAAAACCTATCTTCTCATATTTTATTTGAAAATTCTGTCTTATAGATTTCTTTTTATGCACAAAAATGTGTTTTTTCATGAACAATCTAAGCAAATTTTGGCAATTTTGAATGACTTGTACCTTGAAAAATAGCGCGGTGACCCATACTTTTTATCATTTTTTTTTAAAAAGCGTAGTAAAATCTTCATTTTGGCAAAGTATAAGAAAATTTTGTCTATACCCCTGAACTACCTAAAATACTTCTTTTGACGAAGCTTGTAATATTTGTGTGCTAAACTCCTTTTCTATTCTTTGTCTTTATGCTATTTCCATTATAAGAAAAATTGAACTTCTTATGCAGATATGCAATATGGTTTTCTAACAAGAGTGCGCACACTGAAATATCTTGCCTGGTTTACTGATCATGATTGATTTTATGTTGAAAACCTTTAAGAAGGTTTTACTACAAGTACCACTTAAACTTAACATTATCAATAATTCATGTTAATGAGGTTAAGGTCAGATGAACCCTGCCGGACAGACATGTACACCTGACAATCATTCTATACACAAATAATAGTTAACTTATTGCTTACAGGAACAGGCACAAAAAACTTATCATTGACTAATGAACCATAATAATTAGGTGAAGGTCAGTGGACACTTGCCAGACAAGCATGTACACCTTACAATTATTCTATTCGCTAAATATAGTTAACCTGTATTCCAGAAACTGACATATTCACAAAAACTTAAGATTGACCAATGAACCATAAATTGAGGTCAAAGTTGGATGAGCACTACAATATTTACACCTTATGACCATTGTATACACTAAATATAGTTGAATCATTGCATTCAGTGGCGGATCCAGAGGGGTGGTTCCGGGAATTGGAACCCCCCCTTGTTTCTAGATGATCAATGCATTTGAATAGGGACATATAGTTGGAACCCTCCCTTTATCCTGGGTTGGGAACCCCCCTTTTAAAAATGGCTGGATCCGCCCCTGGCATTGCTCTATAGTATCTGAAAACAGACTTAACCCTGAAAATTTAACATTGACAAATGAACCATGAAAATAAGGGGAAGGTCAGATGAAACCTGCCAGCTTAACATGAACACTTTACCATCATTCCATACACTAAATACACTTGACTTATTTCTAGTAGTATCTGAGAAACAGACATAAACACAATAACTCAATACTGACAAATGAACTATAAAAATTGAGGTCAAGGTCAGATAAAACCTGCTAAACAGACTTGAACATCCTTACAATCATTCCATACATCAAATATAATTGACCTACTGCTTATTGTATCAAAGAAACAGACCTAATCATGTAATTTTAACCTTGATCACTGATTTATGAATGTGGTTGAGGTCAAGTGAACACTATCAGACGGACATGTAGACCTTGCAAGGATCTCATATATCCTATTATTCATTTCACATGACAAAGTACTGAACCATGAAACTTAAGTGAAGGACAATGGACATATGACAGACAGAAATTTCATCACATAAGGCACATATATATATATATAAAAGGTAAGAGCATCCAGATCTGCTACCTTCTGAAATATAAAGATTTATACAAGCAGTTTACATAGCCACCACCAGATTAGCATCCCAGTGTCTCACTTTCTGCAACTTTGGTCACAGGCAAGGCAATAAAAAATGTGTGCAATAATGAGTTTTAAATTGTAATACAAAATTCAAACATGTCTGTATTTCAAGTTTATTATAGGTAAAATACATGCCAAAAACATCTAATAAATATAACAATTTGAGTTCAACATTCTCTGGTAATTATTGGACGGCATTCAATAATAACACATGTAAATTGTTGATTTTAAAAACAATAAATAAAATCCGAATTAGCTCCTCAGATAATATTTCAGTTTTGATAAATGTATATTGCCATATCTAGAAAGTATTGGTCAATAAGGTAAAATCAGACCTCTAACCAAATCTGGATAAAAATTGAAATTAAATCCCCCAAATTTGTTTAACACGGAAATAATGAAGAACTATGCATTTTTTTCTTATTAAGTACACATTTACATATGAACATATATTTTGAAAATTCCTTTTAGATTTTTAATATGATTTAAAGTATAATCCTGTTTTTAAACATATTTTGGTAAAAAACAGAATTCATACAGGTTTACCTTTTATATTTTAAATGTAACTAATTTCGTCTTTGGATCATTTACATGATATGCATCTCACTTCCCTTCATGATTGGTTTGAAAATAATCGAGCTGCTAAATGATTTCAATTGATAGCTAAGGTAACCTTAATTATATGTGAACAAATTATCTGTAGGAAATAAAAAAGTAAACACAAATTGGCATTTGTAGAAATAGCTTGCCTGCTTAACTAATTATGATTGAATTTTATTTTGAAAGTCTTTAAGATCAAGACTACAGGTATAATATAAACTTTAAAACATTATCAATGATACATAAAAAATGAGATCAATGTCAGATGAACCCTGCCAGACAGACATGTACAACTTACAACCATTCTATTCACTCAATATATTTGACATATTACGTGAGGTATCTTAGAAAAAGACCTTATCGTAGAACTTAATGTTGACCAATGAACCATGATAATGAGGTCAAGGTCAGATGAACCCTGTTAGACAGACATGTACACCTTACAATCATTTTATACACCTAACATAGTTGACCTATTAGTTATAGTATCTGAGAAACGATCCTAACCACAGAACTTAGTTTTGACAAATGAACCATGAAATGAGGTCAGGGTCAGATGAATCCTGTTAGACAGACATAATCTATAAACACAATCATTTTATACACCCAAAATAGCCGACCTGTTTCTTATAATATCTAATAAAAGGACCTTATCATGTTAACTAAATGTTGAACGCTGAACATGATATGAGGTCAAGGTCAGGTGAACCCTGACAGACATGTATACTTTGCAATGAACCTATATACCAAATATTGTAGCCCTATTAGTCTAAAACAGGTGATAAAAAGCTGTAGTATTTTAAGTGGTCAACTAACCATGTGAAAGAGGTCAAGAACAAGGAACATATGCCAGATCATCAGGCATGTGTATACCAGATATAAATTATTCAGCTCCTATACCCTCTGAAATATGAAGCTTTATTCACAGCTTATGGCCTTATACCACACCACTGTTGCTGCCAGGTTAGCATCCCTAGGTCAGTTTAAAGATCATAAATAATTAAAGTGTGATTTTGTATATTTTATATACTAAAGACACTGCTACCATAAACTTTCATTAATTCAGAAAATTATATATTCAAACTTGATATACCAAGATACCTGTTTTTTGCAAAAGTAACTTTTGAAACATGATTTATTTTGAAACTTATTCAAGCTTGCAAAAAGAGGAAAGAATTCAATTGTTGCCTAATTTGTAAGATGAACACATTTTCTTTGTTAAAATTTACAACAATTCACTCCAAGGGAGGTCACTCCAGGGGAGGTACATCTAAATCATCAACAAAGTCATCACTGTTTGGTCGTTCTTTAACAGCCTGTTTGACTTTTGACCCTAATGGTGGTACAATTTTATCACTTTTTTGAGTAACAATATTAGCAATGTCAACTGTCTTGTGTGCCTTTTTGTCAACTTCCAGTTTTTCGTGAGTTTTCCTGCAAATAAAAAGGTTATGTAATTAAAGAAGAAGAGTATTAAAAATAAATGGATAATGTGTCTTTTGGCCACAGATGCCCCAGCTTGTTAATATGCAAGAGTCAACTTCCACATACAGATGCAGGATTCATGTAGTTAAGACCGTTTTGTGATTATAAGCATTGTGTATAAGTTTCATAACATTTGGTTGAGGCAAACTAAAGCAATTTTTTCATTTATAAAGGAGCATAACTCAAGAACAGTAAAAGTGATGCCACCCAATTTCAATCTTGATCTAGGTTTGTGGTAATAAGCCTTGTTTATAAGTTTTGTAACATTTGGTTAAGGCAAACTAAAGCAAGAAAACAGAAACGAAAAATTCAGCAATTTTTATGTTTATAAAGGGGCATAACTCCTGTACGGTAAAAATGACGCCACCCAATTTCCAACTTGATCTGTGTTTTGTGGTAATAAGCATTGTGTATAAGTTTTATAACATTTGGTTGAGGCAAACATTTTGGGGATGTACGCGATGGACAGACAGGATGGACAAACGGACAGGACGGACATGGGTAAAACTTAATGCCCCCTCCACTACGGCGGGGACATTATAAAACTTTTGTTTATCTACACCTAAGATGAAAACTTTTAATCGCATGGAAAAAAATTTATGGTGTATTGATTCATGATACAAAATCTCTTCTAGCATTAAGTCTCGGCAAAACCTAGAACAAATGAACAGCAATCAAATTCAGATGATCCAACCTTCAGAACTAGAAATGGTTATTAAAGTATGCTAAAACTGAAGTAAATAAGTTCATGTCTATCATATTTTTCGTAAATTGTTTTGTTATAAATTAGGCTGTTAGTTTTCCCCTTTTGAATTGTTTCACATTTTACATGTCAGGGCTTTTATAGCCAACAATAAGGTATGGGTTTTTCTCATTGTTGAAGGCCATAAGGGTTGCCTATACTTGCTTATATTCACTTCATTTTAACTCTGGTGGATAGTTGTCTCACTGGCAATAATACTACATCTGCTTATTCTTAAGTAATGAAATGTATGTAAAATTGGTCCACACAATCATATCTGGATGTTTTAATAACTTCCCTTCCTAACTTGAAATTATCTAAAGATCTAAGTCAATACAAGTGGGATTGTTTGAAAAATTAGTTGTAACATGTCCAAAAGCTGACATGTGACATATCACAGCATGAGATGTTACATAAAAAAGAAAGAACAACAGAGTATCTGGCTGAATATTTTATACAATAAATTAAGACCATTCCAAAGAACCATATAACTGCAGCATGACTGATCAGATTTTTCAACAGATGAATGATAAATCTGCCTTCTGCAGGAGAACAAATAATCATTCTGAGACAATTACCTTAAAACCTTTTGAATCTATTTTTTCAGAAGATAAGAAAATATTGAAGACTCATATTTTCAGAATTTACATTCCTAGAAGAGGATTAATACAACAAAAGATACGTTGCCTATATATCTTTTAGTTATTTGTGATGTTGACTTTATTCATACAAACCTTTTTTCTTGAACATTATTTTCTTTATTTTCTTCTTTATTTACAATTACATGCTTTGGTTTAATGAGAGGTTTAGCCTGAAAAAGAAATGTGTTGTTTCATTTCCACTAATTAAATGTTCAGGTGATGTGTTATTGGACAAAATAGCAGTATAAATTTTAGAACAAACAGTTATGAAAATCACTTATAACAAGATTAATGATAGAAATTTCTTATCAAATGATACTGATAATTAATTAAACTATAAATGTCAATTATCATATTTTTAGTTTGAACCTTTTTACACTAAAGACAATATTTTCACATTAACAAAGAGAGTACTCCTTACATAACTGAAGTGCGTACAAAACCTTGAGTTTTCTATTCTTAGTCAAATAAATGACCAACAATCACAACATAAAAGAGAGCTCTGGAAGAACAACATAACTTCTACATAATTTATACTTAACATAAGTATTTGATGTATCATAGTACAAATTGGATTATCTCCCATGTATTATGGTCAAAATTGGATAATCTCCCATGTAACTAGTCCTAACTGGATTATCTCTCATTTATTAGAAAAATCTGAACTAAAAAGTATGTTCCATTTTCATTAAAAATGCATTGTATGATAAACAAGAATAACTTATGTCGCTCTCCATATTGTCTCCATTAATTGTTATGATTTACATAATCAACATAGATTTGACAGTATATATACCTTTGGCATTGTGATCAATAAATGACCAGTAACCTGAGATCTTTTTGCTGAACTAGAATCAGCATTTATATCCTCTGTCATACATAACTGTAATATCTGAAACCATAAAATTTACCATTTAAATGATTAATTAGTTAAAAAAGAATGATTGAAGACATTTAAATGCTACTATGCGGTATGGGTTTTACTCACTGTTGAAGGCCGTACGGTGACCTATAGTTGTTAATTTCTGTGTCTTTTCGTCTCTTGTTGAGAGTTGTTTCATTGGCAATCATACCACATCTTCTTATTTTTATATGTCAGTGCATAATGATATGATTGTGGTAATAAAGCACACCAATTTGATTTTTTAGTTATTCTTTTTTGGCAGACACAAAAGTGACTTAGTGAGTTACTTTTTTGCATTTGAATATATATTTTTCTATATTACAAAAAAAACAAAAACACAAAATAGTATAAATGGGTGCCTTTGTATTTCAACATATAACCTATGTTCCTTAAATAGTATCAGTTTGTTATTTGTACATACCTTCCTTTTCATTATAACTTTTGTTATTTGTACATACCTTCCCTTTCATTATAACTTTTACATAATTTGTTTGTACATCAACATCTACAAGTGATGTATCCATATGTCTGGAAAAAATACAAATCTTTATAATTAAGTTCTACAATAGTCTAACAGGAGCAAGTTAAGATGATTTACTTCATTATTTAAACACTTTTCAGTAAGGCTATTGAATTTGGATTGAAATTTCTTTTTCTCTCCTGGACAAGAAGATATTTTTACAAGACAAAATATATAAATTAGATGATTAAGAGGTATTTAGATTTCTATTTTTAGATATTTTAAAAATATCTGTGCAATATCACTTTCTATCTGCCGTTTTCAGTCTACATCTGAAAATATAGTTGAACATGTGACTCTTTCTGAATGAATCTAGTGAGTAAGAATATACAAAATAGTTATATTACATTATATCACAGATTAATTAATGATGCCACAGAGCAAAAGAGATTTTTGAATAATGTGAGTAAATCAAGTGTCTTAGAATTCCAAATTGAAATCAGGTCTATTCTTGGCCTGTGGATATTCCCTTTTTCAGAGTTTCATTTCAAACACTGTTTAATGTAAAACTGGAAGGGTATAGTAGAAATAAAGCTCCTATAATAAAGAAAATTTATGATATACAATTATATGAGAATTTGTTTGGTTCAATGATGTAACAACCAATGCTTACTGTGACATTGTTGTTGTTTCCTGAACCAATTATTAATTTCCATGCCAGGAAAAACAGATATTGTTGTCTTATAATATCTGTATGATTGAACATGGATGAATATAAATAATGTACATTAAAAAAGCTTAAAGACTTACTTAAAAACTGCAATATCTAAGAGAAACTGGTTATTTTCTTCATCTTCAGTCAGTGTAAAGTCCACTCTACATAATTAAAACGTATACAAACTTAGATATACATGTATATATAATCTATAAACTGTAAAAGCCTTCAATTAAGGTGATGACCTTATTGATATGACATATTTTCAGGAACATCGGTTTTAACTGTCTTATACATCCTAAGAACTATTTGAGCAAGTCTGATTCTAAATGACTCAAGAGGATTCAATCCCAAAGATTTTTAATTTATTTTGCAATAAATATTGAAAAGTATTCAGCAGTTGAGGACATCCTGGATTACAAACCAGGGGTATCAGATGTATATGTGGAAAGGAATTATATTCCCATTCCATCACACCTGAGTTCTTCTCCAGTTAATGTGTTTATGGTGCTGTCTGTTCTTTTTTTTGTGTGATATTTTGTCTTCTCTTGTTTTGTCTTGTCATCTTTTTAGGTCATTGTTTTGTTTGTCTTTCTTCGTTTTATCATGTTTGATTGCCTCCCTTAGTATCCTCTTACTTTTGTTTTCTAATAGAGAGCATCTATAATAAAACTAGTTCAAATTGCTAAGGTTAATAATCTCATAAGAATTTTATTCAATATTTTCCTTCTGGAAATCTACTTTTTATAGTTACATTAGGTGGATGGTATTCTCTGATCAAAGTGTGAAAGAAGACCAGACAGCATAAGACCATTTTAATAAATTTAAATCCACATGGATTTTACAACTGCAGAGAAATAAATCAATATTTGTTTTTATTACTATGTATGTTCTAGCTGTTACCATTTTGATTGGTGTAAGTTTCCCTGGAAATATCCCTTAAAAGATTGACCCAAAGGATCATTCTGTCTAACTTATAATTATCATTCACTTACTTTGCCTCGTTTACATTTAAAGGTCGGCCATCATCTGCAAACAATCTTCTTGGAGCTTTTTCTTCTTCTTTCTTCCTGAAATATAACAGAAGCAGAGCTTTACATACATGGTCTATGTTGATTGATGAAATAATGCTTTAACAATTACATGTCACTTTTTTCAGTATTTCAATTATTTTCTTACATTCAATTATTTGATAATGTACATCTGTAGGTAACATTTCTTTTCTGTATCTAATATAATGATAAGGGGAAGTAAGTAGAATTCTGAACTAATAATATTGCAAACAATTGCCAATATTCTGACTAATATAATAGTAACATTTGTATTTTTTGGTATATGGCAAATTTTCTATATTGAAATAAAATTAGTATCAGTAACATACTCTGTATTTTCTCGAGCTTTTTGTTTTTCCATCTGTTTATGGACTTCAATTCTTGATTCTGGAGTAAATTCTGTTTTTTCCTCCCAAAACCTAAAAAACAAAACAGAGGTAATTAATATACATGTACTATGGATTCATTGGTTTTGGTAGGTATCAACTTTGTGGTTGGAAAATAATTCCTGTTTTGATAGTTCTTAATTTAGATTTTTGCTATAATCAAAATAGCTTAATATTTGTGTTTCATTAAGGTTTCCCCTACCCACAAAGTCCATGAAATTTTTTATCCCATAACTATTAATAATAATAATAAATTCTTTATTTAAAGAGAGTAAACTCAGTTAGTTACAATAAACTAATCTTCCCTGAGGCCCTCAAAATTAATGATTAATGAATTCATTCAGTATATTTTTTTTAATATTAACAGTTACTACATTAATTTTTTGTTTGTTGAATAAAAATGATTTAAAGACACTTGAAGAAAGTTTCAAATAATCTACTTATGGATCAATTCAATTATATGATTAATAGTTACACATTTATATACAAAAAATGTGTTTCAATAATTCATCTTATTGATTGTATTAAAACTCATTACTAATTACTGTAAATTAATTTGCAATTGTTTATGTGCTTGGAAAATAATAAACTTGTCTAAATCCATTCTAAAAATATTGTGGATTTATTATACTTCGTATGGTACCAATTTTCTTGGATTTCATGGGAACAGGTAAACTATCAATTTAAATGATCAAAAAAGTATACATTTTCTAAAGCCTTGTACGCAAACTGACAAATTCATGAAATAAAATATTTACAAAAAAAAAAGTTGTCCTCAATTCATGAAAACTGGTGCTCTCCAGAATAAATGAATCCACAGTATTACTTTCAAAATATAATTTTCACAGTGGATTAATATTCATAATTCCCCCCTTCCAACTACTGAACAGGGAAACAAGTATTCACTAAGTAACAACTAATGCTAACTAAGATGTTGTTGTTGTTTCCTGAACCAATTATAAATTTCCATGCCAGGAAAAACAGATATTGTTGTCTGATAATATCTGTATGATTGAAAATGAATGAATATGAATAATTAATATACATTAAAAAATCTTAAGACTTCATAGCTTTTGTCATAGTGAAGAAAAAAATTGAATTGCAGTAAAAAAAAATAGTGTAAAATATATCTAAAAACCTACTCTTGATCTTTTTGATGCTGTTTCTCTAGAGAATCATCTTCTAATTCTCTGTCTTCTGTTTTCTTCTTATCACTAAAATATAAATGATTATGTCAAATGTTTTGAGATAATGCTTGCAGGAATGAAATATTTCATAAAACTGAAAACAGCTTTCATTTCATTCAACAATGTTTAATTCATACAAATGCTTATCTTTTATTGGCTGAAAGATGAATCATTTGATTCCATCCCATGCTTTCATTTTGTATGAAAACAACCTATGCGGTGTAAAAGCAACGGATATAGTATGAGAGCAATCCCAGAATATAGAATTATAAGCTCCGCCTATCTAATCATAATTAATCAACACTATTCATTCACATTGTTCATGCACTTTGTGCAACAATTATACTTTTGAAGAACGCAAATTTTATTCATTTGAAAAAAAAAGTTGACAATTTATCATGAAATATGTATACATGTTAATTGATAAAAATATATAACAATAAATTATTATCCTATGATATACATGTACGGTACTGATGAGTGAGAGTCGTATGAGTGTGTTGCCATGACGGTCTGTTGGAGACCTTCCTCTTTGAATATGTTTTTGTTTATGGTCTTTTCACAATTTACTTACTGACTTGTTGAGTGCTTGTCAACATGTTTAACCCTGCTACATTCTGCATGGGCCTGTTCCATCTGAGGAGCCGGTTATTCAGTGGCTGTCATTGGTTGCTGTCTATCATATTTGTTTGTCATTAATTGTTTGTACATGAATCAGGCGGTTGGTTTTTATTGTTTGAATTGTTTTACATTTTGTCATGTCAGGGCCTTCCATAGTGTATTATACGGTAGGGTTTTTTCTCATTGTTGAAGGCTTTGCAGTGACTTATAGTTTATAGTTGCTTATATGTTCGTCATTTGATCTATGGGTGATAGTTGTCTCATTGGTAATCATACCACATCTTCTTATCTTCATTTTGTACTATCTATCCTTAAAATAAAATTATGTACCTTTCATTTATATCAGTATACCATCTACCATCAAATCCAGGTTTCTTTTCATTCTTTTCTTTCTGTTCTTTCTTTTCTTCTTTCAGTTTTGCCTCTTGTTTTTGTTTTTCCTGTACCAATAAAAAATACTAGAAATTGCTTTTTGGTTGCACTTTACTTTTGATGGATTTGCTTTATATCATTGTAGATTATTTTTAAATTGAATACAGTTTCATCGGAACAACTGCTTAATTTCCAGTGTTTCTTTTAATCTTGATCCTTTTCTCATCTCATGAGAATCAACCATCCTTCAATCATTTAATTAATCTACTTAATAAATAAAAATCACAAATCTTCAGATATCCCTATAAATTAAGTTTTAAGTTTGATTGAAATATATCTTTGTTCTGAAAGCCAAGAGTTAATTAATTGGATGTTATCCATGGCGTTACTGTCTCAAAAAGCAAAAACTAAATGGTTCAGAATAAGAATAATGTGTAAGTTATGGGTGATGCCACCTCCTGCAGATGTTTACCTTGTGAATTAACCCATCAAATTATGGATCAGAGTCAGTCTAGTACACAGCAGGGTTCAACATCAAAATAACATTCCAATTTTGTCCTATTATTGTCACTTAATGCATCAATCAATTATCTGAAATTTAGTGTTTGTCTTTATGTTATATTTTGTATTGTTGAACCATTGACCTACAGTCAAATCTTTATAGAAAAGGTCACCGGGGAAAACTGACCCTATAAGAGAAGTGACTTTTGATTCAAGGTTCAAAATGAATATGTAATATCATAGAGGGACAAGAGGGTGACCTGACAAGATAGCTTTTTGCTTAATACAGGTAACGGTTACATCAGGTTTCACTATATATCCAATTTTTCTTTTTCATACTGAAATATAATTTATACTTACCCTTTTCTTTCTGTGTGCTTCTTGTTGTCTTATTATTTTGCTTCTTAATTCTGCATAGTCCTAAACAAACAGATGTTATTGAAATTTTAGTTATTAGCAATGGCATTTACATGTGTGATAACACCTCATCATGTAACCCTCAGTAACAAGACACCTTATCACTATTTTGGAAGTTGTGACACTTGAACCAGTGTTTTGCAACACTTGAACTATTGAGGACATACAACAATCACTTTTGCATTGTTGCTTCATATATTTTGATGTCCAAATTTTACAGGAATGTCTGTGATGGCCAGTAATGGCGGACAAATAGTGATAAGGTGTATGTTCAGATGTGTGTTTAGCGTTTGGTATAAATCTATTTACCTATTGAAAGAAAAATGGGGTTGATGTACATGATTCAACAAACATAAATTTATATCCTAAGCCTAGCTGAGTAAGGTGAAGAAACAATGTCTGCCATTCTTTTCTTAAAATGGTAGAAGAGCTTTGTTGCCGTATTCCACCATGCAGAATCAATATATTATGTATCTTTCCTCCTCTGCAAAGACTTAACAAATTTACAAAGTTCATTTATTAATCCTTGAAGCTGATATTTTTAAGGTAACGAAACATTTAACAAAAAGAATCGTTTCATACCTGTTTTGCCAAAATCCTTTCAGATTTGTCTACAGCTTGTCCATCTAACATCTGAAATGACATTACAGATTTTGTTAAATTTTATATTGATAAAAGTTCAATAAATGGAGTATTTGTTGAATGAAATCCTGACAATTATCTATGACACAAAGGATGTATTAAGCATAATAATACAAATTTATTGTCTAGTGAACTGCTAGATTTCTCTCTTGCAAGAACTAATTTTGTCTGTTCAAATTGGCATTTCTAATCAAACAAACTAGTTTGTCAAATCAATAAAAACAGCAAATTGGTACATTTGTTTTCATTTTTAGGTTGTGTAATGGTTAAGAAATTAATTATAAGACTTAAATCTATCATAAAATCTAACAAAAATACCAGTGTTTGCTGTTTGTAGTTTATATGCAATGCGAACTGATGTGTTGTTTTTTTATTATTGTAATTTCTGTGTATCAGAAAGTTAATCTGAGATTATTCCAATCCCTAATCTTGAATTAGAATAAATCACTTACTTAAGAGTACAGTTGTAGGGAGTTTTTTTTATGTTTTATTATTTTAAAAAGTATTAAAGAGTTTTAAAGGTACAATTCTGTTTTTTTTTTGTAATAATAGAAATCAAAAATATGTAGGTTTTGCAAATTTCGTTTTGTTAAAGGGGCATTCTTATGCACAATAAAAAAATTGTTACTTTTAGCCATCAACAGTATATACAAACCTGTAGATGTGGTAATGTTGTAATAACATATTCTCTGTAACCTTCATATTCAGTACAAGGGTTACCTGTCAGATACCTGTAATCAAAGTAATATATGCATTTCATTATCAGGTCAATATAATTTTGAAATCAAACTAATCCTCTATTCTGGTGAAACCTCTTTTATTTGCTTTGGAGATAATAGGATATAATCTCAGACAAACCATGTTTTTGAAGCTGACAACATTTTTACAGTTCCAATCTCTACCATTTGTTAAACCATTGTTATTCAAACTAGATCACATACATTTGAAATACAATAGAAATAATTTTCGAAGTTAAAATATAAACCAGGCCATAATCTTGGCGACGAAATGACGATTTAAGTCGCCAAGGAATTTTGAAAAATCGCTAAAACTCGCCGTTCGACTGACTTCATGGCGAAGTCAAATCGCTATCAAAATTAGTAAAAGGGAGACAACTTGAATTTTACAAGTCTCACAGGTAAACAAATTCAAACAATGTTTAAATGAAATAAATACAACGGCGACTTTGAACATCCATGGATTTAACATTCAAAACTATTGAAACGAGAAACCGAGCGTCTGTTTGAGTTATCACTTTACAATGATTTTCATCTGAGGATGTTGCGTAAACACTCAGCTGATTTGTTTTCTTTTTATCTATCACAAGACGATCAATTTTACTATTCGGTAGGTTAAGGGTGGGAATGAACGGCAGATTTTTTATATTCTTTGATTAAAAATTGAAATATAAAAGGTAGAAAGACAGCTAATGGATAAGTTGGTTGCAAAGAGTAATGTACAACACATGGCAAGCTTGTGATCAGCAGTGGGTTTTTCACGACCAATTTGTTAATGAGGGAGATATTTTTTGTAACAAAATGATAAAAAATAGCTCTTTATCGATTAATTAAAATGTGATTGATAAATATTTTCATTTATATATAGGCTTACAATCTATCACGAGATTCTCAACTTACAGCTGACATGATGTCCTGGACAGTCAATATTTTACAAAAGATAAACATTAAATTGCCCAGTCATTAAAAAGTCATCACTTAAACTGGGAGTCATATTTTTCTGGACTTAAAAAAATTGAAGTAGATGCACATGGGATTAATGCATGATAATATTACTAGGCAAGCAACAAAATAAATTTCAAGTTGACAGCACTAAAGGTTGAATGAATAAATAACAACTACATTGTCTAAACCTTTTTATTAAGAATTTTCAATTCATACATTTTATACAATATTATAATCATATAAAACACTGCAAGGAAATTTTTTATTGCACAAATAAAACATGTTTCCCTTAATGATGTGCACGAAAACACTATGCAAATGAAACGGTAATGGAATTTCACTTCTCCAAGAAATTGACCACTTCTCCCAACTCTCTGGTGGGAGGAGAAGTCACTTCTCCCTCTCAAAAATCCTAGATTAGGCCCTGTAAACTGGTAAAGTATAGAACTTATTTCATTTTTCAGACACCATATGTGTCTTAAATTTCATGTTATTTAACAACTGTTGCCTAGCATTGTCTATAGCCCTTTCCAGAAACATCCATGAATTTTACTTTAAAATTATAATTTTAAGTTAGTTAACTCCCTTTTCAGGAAGTAATATACTGCATCACGGCAACTAAGCTCAATGATGAGTCAATAATTGGCGGTTCGTAATCACTGTTGATTTAAAGGTAATATTTGGTTAATATAAATATAAAAATTATAAATGGTATTTTGTGTTCAAACAAACTCGTTATCAAACTCGATTATAAAGCTGGAAAGTTACATATTTTTTTCTATTTTACTTCTCACCAATGCTCTGCATTGCAAAGACTAGTATTTATACCAGCATACTTCCCAACAAGGGAATTCGTATAAAATTGTATTTTCAAAATAAGATTCAGGTTTTTCAAAGTTAGTTTCTGGAAAGTCCTATAACACAGATATGTCAAAATTTATCATGAAAACTGAGCTAGAAAACCAGTTATCTGCTCCTTTCTGGAGAAGTTGTCAATATTGTGACTCATTTGAAATAAAAAGATTATAGTAGATATAACTTACAATTCCCTGAAATGAACTAGATCTTTTAAATTTTCTATGCTTGTCAATTCTCCAACAAAATTAACTGTTAAATCCAATTTCTGTAAAGACTCACAACCTGTCAAAAAAATATTAGAAAATAATAAAAACTTTAATAAATAGTTTTCAATAGTTCTACTCTTGATATTATTTCATATAAATATTTTAATCATGTTTATTCAGCACATTTTAATTTAGACCAACATGATCATAAAATATTACAATAAAATGCTCCGCTGGGAGCAGCTTGATACAACCACAGAGGTCGAAACCTGAACAGTTGGGGCAAGTATGGACACAACATTCAAGCTTGATACAGCACTGAATTTGGATTGTGATTAAATATTTGACACATCATAGGTTTCTGACACAGAATGAATGTGGTCTAAGAACTTAAAATTTTTTAATTTACCTATTTAACCATATCATTATTATTTGCTTTTATATATAAATCAGAAATAACCAATTTAAAATGGAAAATTTTAAAGAAAAAAAAGGAAAAAAAAATCCCTCCCCCAAATTTTTTGAACCCCCTTATGATTCATCACCCCCAAACTCAATCCCAGCCTTCCCTTTGTGGTATGGTACCTTGCAGTACAATTTCAGAGAGATCCATACACTTGAACACAAGTTATTGTCTGGAAACTAGAAAAGGGCTTGTTTTTAGGCCCCTTTTTGGCCCCAAATTCCTAAACATTCAGGGCAATTACCCCCAAACTCAAACCCAGCTTTCCCGTTGTGATATGGAACCTTGTAGTACAATTTCAGAAAGATCCATACACTTACACACAAGTTATTGCCTGGAAACTAGAAAAATACTTGTTTTTGCCCCTTTTTGGCCCCTAATTCCTAAAATATTGAAGCAATTACCCCCAAATTCAATCCCAGCCTTCCCTTTGTGGTATGGTACCTTTGCAGTACAATTTCAGAGAGATCCATACACTTGAACACAAGTTATTGTCTGGAAACTAGAAAAATGCTTATTTTTGGACCCTTTTTGGCCCCTTATTCCTAAACGTTTTGGGCAATTACCCCAAAACTCAATTCCAGCTTTCCCTTAGTGATATGGAAACTTGTAGTACAATTTCAGAAAGATCCATACACTTACACACAAGTTATTGTCATGAAACTAGAAAAATGCTTGTTTTTGCCTCTTTTTTGGCCCTTTATTCCTAAAATTTTGAGGCAATTACCCCCCCCCCCCCCCCCACCAAATCAATCCTAGCATTCCCTTTGTGATAAGGAACCTTGTGGTACAATGTCAGAGAGATCCATACACTAACACACAAGTTATGTCTGGAAGTTTCAAAAATGCTTATTTTTGGCCCCTTATTCCTTAACTGTTAGTACCATAACCCCCAAAATCAATCCCAACCTTCCTTTTGTGGTATTGAACCTTATGTTAAAATTTCATAGAGATCCATTCACTTAAACTAAAGTTAGAGTGCGAAAACCTATGTGTCTTCGGACGACGACGACGCCAACATCATACCAATATACGATCGCAAAATTTGTTTGCGGTCGTATAAAAAGCTCACTCTTTATTGTACTAATGTAAACTAACTGACAATTTTGAATATCATTTATCTAGTGAATTTGTGCCATTTGCTTATTATGACAATTATACTACTATAAAAGTTACATTCATTTAGAAATTAATGATGATCATTTTGCTTCATTTCAAATTTTAACAATTAAAGATCACTGGCAACAAAATCTGTCAAACTTATCAAATTATATACAGAATAAAAGTGCAATGTGCCTTAAGATTTTACAAATATAAAATAAGAAGATGTGGCATGATTGCCAATGAGACAACTCTCCACCAGAGACCAAATGACATAGCAGTTAAAAACTATAGGTCATTGTACAGCCTTCAACAATGAGCAAACCCCATACCGTATAGTCAGCTATAAAAGGCCCCTAAATGACAAGCGTAAAACAATTCAAACAAGAAAACTAACGGCCTGATTTATGTACAAAACAATTAAAAAAAAACTAATATGATATACAGCAACAAACTGTAACTACTGAATTACAGGCTCCTGACTTAGGACAGGCACATACAGAATGTGACGGGGTAAAACATGTTTGAAGGTGCCAAACCACCCCCTAACCTGGGACAATGGTGCAACGGCACAATGCAAAAACAAACTATACTATGTTTGTATTGTTGTTTTCTGACAAGTATAAAAGGATTAATTATGAGGGAAAGATTGATTGATTGTTGGAATTTATTGCCACTTTCAGCACTCTTTGCTATCTCATGGCGCCCAGTTTTTATTGTCGGAGGAAGCATGAGTCTCCAGAGAGAACCACAACCTCTGGAAGGAAAACTGGCAATACTGTCAAAATGAGTAGAATGCACCTTGCAATGAGCAATGTTTTATCATTCATTGTGCATTTCCTTTTGACATTGTAGTAAGACAAGCATTTTGAACTTCTGTCATTGATATTATTAAAAATATATAGAATACACAGTTTAATATTGGTAAAACAGTGTTAATTTAAGGTTTTTATGATTTTTAAAGACATCAACTTTTTGCTTTTTCTTTTGACTGGTTTTGTTCAAGTACATTTATAAATTTATTTTTTACCACTGTAGTAAGTTTCCTGAAACAAATTGTTTGCAAACCTTACCTGAGAGATTTTCAATTTTCTCCACATTATTCAATGCTAAATTAAGGTACTCCAGTTTTTTCAGCCTTCCAACATTTTCTGAAACAAAAATATCAGACACTGAAATGGTTTATCTTGATGCAAAAGATTGTAAAACATTAATAGCTTAGTTTACTGACAGTACCAATAATTTTATTATTCTACATAAAATAATAAATGAAATGTTTGTTCAGTATAGAAATGTCTGTTTTTCAGTTACATATCAAATTCTATCCGATTTATATTTTTGCAGTTTCAGGTTCTGTATATTTTTTCTTATGGTTTACATGTCTATTTCTTTCTGTAGCTAAATTTGGATAACACTTACCTATTTTGGGAATAAGATTACTTTGTAAGTATAAAATTTTTAGCTCCCTGCACCATTTGTCTAAATGCTCAATTCTGAAATTTAAAATTTTAGACTAGAAATACTGAAATAAAATACAGTAATATACTTTTTTATATGAGTTTTAATAAATTAACCACAAAAATCTGTTGAGTTTTCCCAGAATATAAACATAAACAAGAGTGCACACGCTGAAATGTCACGACTATATTACTTATTATTGAATTTATGTTGAAAGTCTGTAACATGAAAGTTTTACTACAAGTATCACATAAACTTAACATAATCAATGTTCTATGATAATGAGGTCATGGTCAGATAAACCAGGCCAGACAGACATGTACACCTTACAAACATTCCATACACCAAATATAGTAGACCTGTTGCTTATAGTATCTGATAAACTGACCAAATTATGAAAACTTATCATTGACCAATGAACCATGAAAATGAGGTCAAGGTCAGATAATACCTGTCAGACAGACATGTACACCTTTCAATTGTCCCATACACTAAACATAGCTGACCTATTGCTATTAGTATTTGGAAAACCAACCAAAACACAAAAACCTAACATTGTCCAATGAACCATGAAAATGAGGTCAAGGTCAGATGATACCAGCTAGACTGACATGTACACCTTACATTCATTCCACTCACCAAATATAGTTGGCCTATTGCTTATAGTACTTGAAAAATAGACCAAAACACAAAAACTTAACATTGACCAATGAACCATGAAAATGAGGTCAAGGTCAGATGAAACCTGCCAGACTGACATGTACCTTTTAAAATCATTCCATACACCACATATAGTTGACACTCTGCTTATAGTATCTGAAAAACAGACCTAATCATGTAACTTTAACCTTGATCACTGATCCATGAAATGAGGTCGAGGTCAGGTGAACCCTGTCTGACGGAGTGACATGAACTGCTTTTACACTATGTTCCTTTATGTATCATATATCTCTTTCGTACAATGTAAGTCAACTGATTGGAATCAATTAAGGATAGAGTTGAGATCTAAAACAAAATAGTTTAACCCTGTGACTGTCACATGTTTAAGTACCTTACAGATGTCAGAGTCCTGTAAGTGTTGATATTGGTCATATCTTAATGGGTTTTTTCATTTAGGGGATTTGGTGTGGGTGGCAGATCTGTGACTGTCTGTTAAATACATTCACAAATTTTTAGCCTTTATTTACATGTACATATTGTATAGACATCGAATCTTTTGTTGAAGAATAAGTTGACCTTCAGTTTTCATTTTGTTAATTGTGTCCTTTAGTTGCTACCTCATTAATACCCCACATTTATTTTTATTCATATAAATTAATAAAATCAGTAGTTTTTGTACCAACCGAAAGTCACAGGCAAATATCATATTTGTTGACAATTCATTTTATACAATGTATACATGTACAAATGTACATTTTGTTAATTTGTTGAATGCAGTGTTGAATTTCAGATCTTTGAAAACACCCAAACATCATCATTTTACAGAGCTAATTATATGATTTGGATGCTTGTTCATTGTTGATACCCTGGTAGACTGTTAGCATGTCTTGATGTTGTCTTTGAAGATTTATTGCTGGGTAGCTGTCTTTTAAGCCCTTACCTGTTCTTATCAAAATAATCCGACATAATAACTACATACTTTTCTATATCTTGTTGGTGTAAAGATACTTCCTCTAATGTTGAGATTTCAAGGTCATTGTGCTCAGCTTTCTTTCGAACCAAGTTTTCAGTTACTAAAAATGTTAAAACATATTTAACTCCACATAATCATTAGGATGTTACGGCAACAAATGGTCCAGACCCAAATATGGGGGTGTGAAAGCAGTTTTTGGTGCCACATAAATTGACATGTAGTCATCTCATTGGAACTGATTGTTTTACTATATTAATGAAATATATAGATGTACCACCTATGATTTAGATTGACTTATAGATGGAAATATAAGTATGTGGCTTTCTACTTACATTAACATGTAAGCAATGAAATCATTTGTATAGAAATATCAAGTTTCACTTAATTTATAAGAAAAAGCAATTCACATCACATAAAGCAGTCAAGCTTAGTACTTTTATAAATTAACTATTACATGTGATGTAAATGTATGTGTAAGGTTTTGGAATCAACATTACATAAAATTATCAGCAAAAACATGAAGCAGGCACTTAGGAAAGTGAATCGAATTTCATGATGTTTTTTTTAAGATATTTATAGTAATAAAATCAACAAGTTTATCATCTTGTAAATCATTTTTATATTTGATGTATAATGGGACTTAAAAAATTCTGCTTAGAATACATGTATTTCCAGTATCAAAAGTCCATTACTACTAATATGTATAATTCAATATCTTATAATGAATGCATGAAATGAGTGACCCATTATCGCCTTAAGGAGAGATATACTTTCTAAAAAACTCTGAAAAATTGAAATTCTAACATTTGTGATGATTAAAGAAATGTGCTATGACATGCGAGGCTCAGGACTATTGCAAGTTGGAAGTACTGTGTAGGCCAAAAAACATAAATGTGTGTTTATGGTTACCCTACTGACCCAATTTTTATCAATTTTTATCACCTAATAGAAATTTTTCGAAAATAAATGATTAATCTTGAGTTATCTTTCTTTGTATGAAATTCACTTACAACAATATGGGCTTTATTCTTATTCCAAAATGCAAAGAATGGATGAAAAAGATAAAACACTTCAGATTTTTTTAAATAAACTTACACATGGATAAAAAGTAGAAATCAATTTTCATATAAATTTACATGTATGGCCTAGTAAAAAAATTTGTAAGGGGTTCCGCGGAACCCTGTGTCTTGCCTTCAATTGCTGCTGTCAGAGTAAAAGTGTAATGCTGACTTAAAAAGTGAGTTCATTTATCAGTAAAATACAGAATTTAAAAAAAAATAAAACATTTTCTTTGGATGCTCTTTCTTGGTCTGTCAGTGTAAAAGTGTAATGCTGAAGATTAGCTTCTGTCCAAGTTTCATAACAATCCTTATATTTTCAAAGGTTTGCTTCAGACATTATCTATTAATCATTAAAAAATTTCTGCCAAAGTTTCATAAAACTCTATGAAGATTTGACAAAGTAATTGATGTGTAACAAACTTTAACCCCAGACTGTATCTACTTGTTAACTGTAAACAACTAAGTCTATTTATCAGTAAAATACGGAAAATGAAAATTAATATTTTCAAAATTTTGCTCTGGATACTGTATTTTTGAGATAAACAAGCTTCTGTCCAAATTTCATAAATTTCCATGAAGGTTTGACAAAGTTGTTGATGACTGAAAAAATTTAACCTCAGACTGAGCCTGGGTGTTAACTGTAAAAAAAATTAAATCCTTTATTAGTAAAATATGGAATCAAAATTTTGTTCTGGATACAATATTTTAGTCATAAACAAGCTTATGTCCAAATTTTATAAAATTCCATGTAGGTTTGACAAAGTTATTGATGACTAAAAAAACTTTAACCACAGACTCAACCTAAATGTTGATGCCGCTGAAACCGACAACAGAATCTAGGATCGCTATGTCGAAATAAATTTTGCAGGCTCAACAAAAATGTGTGCTTATGTTTATAAGTTAACATACTGAAAGAAGATAAGGGTATGTTGGAATTTTTTTATGCCCCCACCGCTAGGCGAAGGGGGCATTAAGTGTTACCCTTGTCGTCCATACATCCCAAAATTGGTTTCCGTTCTCCAACTTTAGTTTGCCTCAACCAAATGTTACCATAAAACACAGTTTTGTAAAATTCTACAAACAAGCCTATAGAAAATTTGTACTTTGTTGAACATTTCAATTCATTGTTTACTTATAAATACCCACAAAATAAATGTGTATCCCAGGAACAATAATGAATCCAAAGTATTTGAAAATTATATTAGTCTTTCTTTATTAAGTTTAACTTTGCACTTTGTGATCTACCGTTCAATGCAAATCTATTCTGACAATGTACTCTTTCCTTTTTGAAGAAATACACAAGTATAAAATTCCCAGACATATTTTTCCTAGGGTTTCATTTCCAAAAGAATAAACACACTAGTGTGAAGATGGAATACATTGGACTAGTGCATTTTTTGTGTTAAAGGAAAGATCTAAACACAAGAATGAAAATATGCTTACAATCATACAGATTCTAGTATGGCATTTAAATGATCCAGATTTTAAGTTTATAATTATTTTTTTGCAATTGATAATTACATGTAGTTATATAAAGGAATGTGAATAGTTTCAGCTAGTAAGATTAACATTTTAAATTACAGGAAAATGGCTGAGTGTTTGTAAGAGGCAATTTTCTGTTCCAGCTGCTCAACATAATGAGAGAGATATTACACCTTATTGCTACATTATTGCAGACATTCCCGGTAAAATTTTGACGTCACAATAGAAATTTTTGACACCACAAAGGAAAAGTAATTGTAGTATGACATCAATAGTTCAAGTGTCGCAAATTCTCTGGTCAAGTGTTGCACATTCCCAAATAGCTATAAGGTCTCTTATGTACCTATCAATGAGCTCAGGATTCTCACAAAGGATTTTGGAGGTGATTGCAGGGACTCATCATTTTTGTTCATGGCAAGTCCACCAGTGAGAAGATAAATTTTATTGCCATATCATTTATTATTTCAGTCCCCATGACAAAATAGAGTAAGGAAATTACATCAACTTTAGATTATTATCAAACATTTGTCATAAAATGATGATATTTGTGCTCAGTTGATACATTTTACAATCTTGATTCATCTTTGGACTCACCAGTTTTGAAAATGATGAGTCCAGACAGATTTTCATGAGTCCAGGACTAATTGACTTGCCTTAGTGAGAACCCTGGAGCTCGGGAATAGGAGTTTAATGTGAATAAAATAAATTGATTATCATGGGTGAAATAAATTGTTCATTTTGCACCCTTATAACTGTATGGTAGATCTATTGTCCTATAATTGATTACCTCAGGGCATTACTTTCGGTTTCTGTTTATTTCTGAAATTTTCTTTTTACTTATTTTGCTATAAAGAATTTCTATTTCTATTCTATTTATCATTTTTTATTTTCTATTTTTTGTTTTTAGTTTTTACTATCAATGTGCCATTCGCATTAAAAAAAAAATGAAAATAGCTGTATAAAATCGTTAAATAAAGAAAATATTATTGGGACTAGTTCTCAGGCACTTGTTTCAGAAAAAAAAATTTCCTATATATCTTAATATATCACAAGATCCTTAACTCGCATATTTGAAAAATGTCATCCGGTCACGAACTTCCGTTATATTTCTTTTTCACCGTTGTCAACCGAATCCAGGTCCGTTCGCCCATTCAAGTTTGCCTCCTTTCACTTTTGCACCCTACATGTTCACACCCAAAGTCCGTTCGCATCCTACACGTTCGCTCCCTTTAATTGGTTTTGTGGTGAATAATTTTGTAATTGAGTTTTGGAAAGTGTATTGCTATAAATATTTTTTTTATCATTGTTTCAAAATAAAACAAGATTTTGACAACGTTTTTTTTTTTTTGTGTTGAATAAATCTTAATCATGTTTTGGCTGGGACTATTAATGTATACTTAGTATAATAGTCCCAGGTTTTGGTTAGTGTATTGCTATAATATTTTTTTTCATTGTTTCAAAATAAAGTGAGATTCTGATAACGTTTTTTTTTTTGTGTTGAATAAATCTTAATCATGTTTTGGTTAGTGTATTGCTATAAAAAAAAATTTCATTGTTACAAAATAAAGTGAGATTCTGACGTTTTTCTTTTTTTTTGTGTTGAATAAATCTTAATTATGTTTTGGTAAGTGTATTGCTATAATTTTTTTTTTATTGTTTCAAAATAAAGTGAGATTCACACGTTTTTTTTTTGTTTTTTGTTGTTTTTTTTTGTGCTGAATAAATCTTAAATTATGTTTTGGTTAGTGTATTGCTATAAATATTTTGTTTGTTCATTGTTTCAGAATAAAGTGAGATTCTCACAACATTTTTACATGCAGTATTTACATCAAAGCAAGTTAAAGTAACAATCATGATTTTCAAACACACAACAATAACACCAAATTTAGCTGTGTATAAATACAATGTACCAATAAGCAGTAATCATACATAATTAACATTTAATAATTAATCATCAAATTAATAAATAAAAAAAATCATATAATAATTCCTCAAATTTTTTCAGGAAAATATAATTTATTTTGTTTATACGCTTTCGAGACGCGACGGCCATAGGATGTGTCGGCCATACCGTCACATCGTCCATGGGACATATCCACCACACATTGTGAGACGTATCGTCCACACTTTAAAAAATTTTTTTTATTGAGGTTATAACATAAAATATAATAATAAAATAAGTATTTATTCATAATAATAACATTAATATGATTTTGTAGTATTTTTTTCTGTACAAGAGATCTTATTTATTCTTGTAAGAGTTATCTTTGCTTGATCATCATCACTCGTGTTTACAACTTGTTGGGGCCATATTATGTAAGTATATTGATTATTTCTTCATTATCAGTTATAAACAATTTCTGAAGAATCATTTTTATTGTAATGTGATATAAAGGCATCTTATTTTATATGAAGTATATATTATTCTAAACAATAAAAATCTTCTCAATCTCAGTCTTGGTGAAATTTAAAGATGGCCAGTTTCATTTTTATCATACTGAATGTTCTTTTTGCTTAATCATTACTTGATTACCTTGTTTTATATTTCAAAACTGAACTTATTGTTTTAATTTTGACAGAAATTAGTCTCCCATTCGGATATAGTCATTCATATTTGTTCATTTTGTTCTGTTTGTTATACGCAAGATATCAAAAAATCATTTAGAAAACAATATGATATTTTAATATTTTATTAGATTAAACACATTCATTTATGATATATATATAATGAGTAAACAAATGATATAACAAAATTAAACATGATAAATAATATAAAAACAGTAAAGCTTATTTAAAAGTTATAATAACCATCTATAAGTATCAAAATAATTCATATATAACATCTATATAAAAAAAAAAAAAAACGTGGACGATACGTCTTCACAAAGTATGGCCGTTTTTGTCATATGGCCGTTTCATCTTTTCGGGGTATGGCCGTTTCATCCTATGGACGTCATGGCAGTATGGCCGTCACGTCCTGCATCGGTTTATACATATAAAAAAAATATCTAATAACTCAACTGGAAACTGAATAAAAATTGGGCGCGAATGTGTAGGGTTCGAACGGACCTAGTGGGCGAACGTGTGGGGTGCGAATGTGTGGGGTGCGAAAGTGTATTGGGTGTGAACGGACCTGATACCTTGTCAACCACACTAAAACTTATGTCTGATTAACTTATGACATAAGTTATGTCGTAAATCTAAATTGATTTATCTACACATTGTTGTATAACACGCCTACTTTTGTTGTCGGAATCATTCGTAGCAGGCCTCCCCAAGTATGTCAACCGTAATTATTTAACGAAAGATCGAAGCAAATGGAAAATAAGGATCTAGGTAGATCCTTATAAAAAATTTTCCATTTGCTTCGATCTTTCGTCAAATCTGATATAATTGGAAATGTAACCTCTGTATTGCGGTAAAGGAATAAATTGATAAGCGAAGAAACTCGCTATGTTTCTACTTACTCCGAACCATTGTGTATAATCAGTGTAAATCTGTGCTACATGTACATGTTCTAACTGGAGCTGTTGTCAATATAAACTATTAAGCGGAAGTAACTCACTGAGGGAGAATTTCATTTTTTCATGAAATGCTATCTATTTTTAGTTTCATCATCAAGAATAATAGTTTCTAACATATTCTACTGATGAATTTACGCTTTAATAGTTTATAATTAAAAATAAATCAGAAAATAAATCATCGCTGTATTTTTAATGCATAGTTAAAAAATACTCGAAGTGACTGATCCCCTTCAGTGTCGCAATAACGATTACTTGAACGATTTTGTTGATTAACTAAATTGATCACGATTCAATTTCAGGGGTCAAGGACAAAACCAATGAGAGATGGCTCAGGCTGGAAAATTTGCAGATAAAGCTTTACAGCTCCTGCGGTCATATCCGCGGGTTGCATTGAACAATCTCAAAGACATGCCTGGTGCTTATAAAAAGGTTAAATTAAGAATAAAAATTTTTCCAAACATGATTAACAATTGTTCTACCATTTCCTACCTTCTACAAGTTTTTTTAATTATGACATGTATAGAAATTATACACAATTATTATAAATCCTCCATCAATAAAAAATTACCGCCACGAAATAGCACAATAGTGCTGAAAGTGCCGTTAAACACCAATCAATACTGTTCACCAAATATCAATCCTTTATAGACAAAATCTAAATGAGTATATACATTATCCTTGTATTATGGGCTTTCATGCTATTTAAAATGCATTGTGACGTCTCAATTTCCATTGGAAACGCATGCATAGTACAAATTCAGATGACGTACTCAAACATATGATCTAACGATATAGGAATAAAGACTTTAATGTAATGTTGATGAGTAAGCGCCCCGGTTTACACATCAATAACTTCTAGAAAAAATGTGTTTAATCCTTATGATTCTTAACCTAAACATTCACGATTTTTAATTAACAATTTTTTGTTTAATGGCTTCTATTTACCATCAAATGCATAATTGACATGTTGTAATTAAGGAATTAGCTGCCATATTGACTTTCTAAAATCCCTAAATGATTGTTTAATGCAACAGAATCTAAAATGAAATAGTACCTACCTCAAAAACTTCATTTCAATAAGATAATATCCGAATTTGAAGCGTACAAGTAACGGAATAATCTTTAGCTTGAAAGTTTTTATTGATATGACAAAACCATGACGTTAATTGGCTAAGATCAATCATGAAATTTTGCGGAATTTTATTTAATTTTGATTTTATACATTTTCAAAGCTTTAGTGCATTATTTCTTTTTGTAATAGTAACCACATTTTTGTTTAAATCTTGAGTTATTTGTTATTTATATACAATATGTAAAGTAATAACTGGAAGATTTGTTTGTATTTGTAGTCATTTCTGTAATCATGGTAATGTAGTGAAATTCCACCTCTATATGTTGTGTTTTTCCCAAAAAATATCAAATTGAATTAAATTAATACAATACATGCAATGGAGCAAAATGAGTGTATGTAAAAAAAGAATTTATACTTTTTATGGATTTTTTTTATTAAAAAATTTAAACATGATATAGTGATGAGTGTTATGCTAACTCTGGGTTGAAGTTGATATAAAAATGGATCAAAGACTCGACTTGTTTGATTGATGACACCGTAGTGCAGATTGTTTCTTTAACAATGAAGGATTCCAATGATTGTTTCCTTTTAGATTAATGGAAGATATCACTGTCATACTTCTAATGAGTGCATTAGTTTCTTTTACCAGTATACCATAAAGAAGTACTGATGATTATAATTATTTCATTTCGAAAGTTCTTGTAATTTAACTAGAGATTGAGAACTCATTTCTGCTGATCTCCTTTGAAAGCTAAAATGGGATAGAGAAAATTATGTGCTTCCAAAGCACACCATCAAACATTTGTCACCTTTACTTTACAACATTGTAGTTTATATATTATATTTTCAAGTGTGTGTTCACATGGAATACCAACTTATGGTTTAATCTGTAATCTATAACTGCAGAATTTCAACAAGAGAAGAAGTGCAGGAAAGAATAAGACACATGGACGAGGACACAAGGGTATGGGACAGAGGATGACATTACCACCATTGGGATATGAAGGAGGACAAATTCCATTTCACATAAGAATACCATGTGAGCCATATTACAAAGACCATGAGTAAGTGAAACAACAAATGATTTATACTATCGTCAAATATGAATATTGCAAATTAAATATTTTTTTTTTTATATCTTTCTATCCTAATTCACAGAGATTTCTTTGTGTGATTTTCTTACTTTGTTGATGTTGTCATATAGAATAAGAAGAATTTGATAAAGACATTATTTTTTCTACTCAAAAAAGTCACATAAATGATTAACTTGATAAAATATCAGTAGATTATTTACAAATGACTTATAATTAACATGCTTACATAAACCACAACACGACCAAATAAAGTTCTTGGTAATTTTCTTCATTAAACATGTTGAAATAGGATGGAAAAAGGAATTTTTATCGAATTTCAACTTCTTTTTTTTGGCATTTAACTATTTATTCCTAGTACTTATGAAGTAGAGAGTTAACTTACAGTCAGTAAACACTACTGCATTAATTTTTGTCAAGCCTGCCACATTTATGTCGAGAAAGCGAGACAAAGCGATTTAGGTTCAGTCTGGGGTTAAAGTTTTTTCAGACATCAACAACTTGATCAAACCTTCATTGAATTTTATGAAATTTGGACAGAAGCTTGTCTATGACCAAAAGACAGTATCCAGGGCAAAGTTTAAAACAAATTTTTTTTTAGTGTTTTACTGATAAATGGACTTAGTCATGGATTAAAGTTTGTTACACATCAATTACTTTGTCAAACCAACATAGAATTTTATGAAACTGGCAGAAGCCTTTTTATGATTAAGAGATAATGTCTGAAGCAAACGTTTAAAAAAAAGATTTTTTTTCTTTTTTAGTATTTTTCTGATAGATTTTTTTACAGATAACATTTACAAACAGTCTGGGATTAAATTAATTTGACATGTTAAACTTGTTAACCTTCATGAATTGTTGTGAAATTTGGACAGAAGCTAATCTTCACATGCTTCAAGACCAAGAAATAACATCTAAAGAAACAGTTTTAAATTCTGTATTTTGCTGATAAATGGACTCACTTTTTAAGTCAAAATTACACTTTTACACTGACAGCAGCAATCACAGGCAAGACACAGGGTTCCACAAAACCCCTTACAAGTTTTCATCTATTAAAAATACATTTATATATCAAACATGGAGGAAACAAATTGACAGAAGAAGAAAACATATACGATCTGTAATTAGATTGAGCATGTAAAAAATAAAGCACAGCCTGTCATTGTTGTACAAAGCAAGCAGTGTATATTCATAGCAGATTAAGATGTTCTCATTCTGTATACATACAAATGTATGCAATATTTTCTGCTATACATTTACCAACCATCAATCAAGTACATATATAAATATAATTACTCATATTCATTTACCAATTCATATCTTGAATCTTGAAAAGCCAAACTCTTCATCATCTTTGGTGAAAAAATAATTTATTTTAACTGTTGATATTATTTTTCCATGAATATAGGTAAGTTATGATCCTCAGTACTAGTGGTATAAGTATTATTATCAGCATGACCTATAGTTGCTTTAAAAATCCTTGTCATTTGGACTCTGGTGGATAGTTGTATCATATACCACATCTCCTTATTTTACAAGACTATCTTTCAGCCTTATATTTGTACTTTTTTTCAGATTTAGAAGGCAGTACCCACCTTTTAGTTTACTCCAAGTTCAAAGGTTAATTGATATGGGTTTGGTGGACATCAATGAACCAATAGATTTACTGACGTTTTGTAATACTGCTCATTACGACTGTTCAATAGAAGACAACCATTATGGTGTTAATTTGACAGAAGAGGTAATGAGTCCATGTTATCCTGTAAATTTAGAAATTTTTGCGATGTTTTTATTATTGTGAAAATTGTGACAAGTTAAGATTCCGCAAAAATAAAAACTCACATTCTGAAATGTGGTAGCATTAATTATTTATATGCAATATACTCTTAAATTGCAATAATTGATCTCACATTTTTGTTCATTGTTCAACAATCACAATAATAAATGCATACAGACATTTTCCATGGTTTCCCAAGAGAAGGTTACATCCTAAGTTACTTCCATTCATAGACCTTAGAAACTATGCATGTTATGACAAGTAATCATGTCTTTGATTATTAGGTACCAGTAATTAACTGTAGCTGTTTTTTATTAGTTCCAGCAAAATAATAGTTTTGGTTCCTGTTACTAAACTTAAGGGTTAGAGTTTGAAACTATTTATGTTTAATTTTTGTTATATCTTTTATACTTATTTATTTTGAAAGCTTCTGGATTCATCATCAAGTTTAACACCTGATTGCCGTCGCACACTGCTTTGAAATTATTAATTTTGAAAGATTTCGGATGCCTCATCATTCATCAAGTTTCAAACCTGTGTGCATACTGCTTTGATTTTACAATAACGACAAGATTAACATGATCAATATGCCTGTGTGAAGAAAAATAGTCCAACCAAAAAGATTGTCTTCTTTACAGAAACATTTTTTATGTCCCCGCAACTAAAAGTTGGGGGCATATTGTTTTACCCCTGTCCGTCCGTCCCATTATGGGTATATAGTTATTCCGCATAACTCCTCCTACAGTTTGAATCCAAGGAATTTTTCACTTTGCTGTCTGTTTGTACATATATTGAAGGTGTGCATGTGGTCAGGGTTTTGATTTTTATTAATATTTGCTCTTTTGGGAGATAGTTGAACTTTGTCATTTTTTGGAGAATTTATGCATAAGAGGAGCTTTTCCAAATAACTCCTCCTACAGTTCATACAATTATATCTCAAAGAAGGTCCTACATTGACTTTGTTATAATACAGTTACTTCAAAGTGGAGTGCGGGGGCATCACTTTGTCTAGTTTTTTTTTCATAATACAAAATATTTTGCATGGACTGTTTCCATGAATTTTTATCTGAAAATTTTTTTCTTATGAGAAAAGAAAAG